ATCGTCTTCTTCTTTCATCAACCATATTCATGAGTTCATCATCGGCTTTTCCGTTCATCTTCCAGATTCGAGTCAGGGCAAGTGGAGAGCCACGGGCTGCGTCCGTATTTACAACACGGTGCGTGGTTGCATGGTGTGGTCCAAAGCAGTGATGATGGTGATGGAGTGCCCTTTCACGACTTCCCCTTTTGAAAGCTTTTGGTGAGGGGCGGCACTCCACTACCTTGCTTCCTCGTTGTCGTCCAGGTCGTTGTCGAATTGAACACAAGGCAATTGTCTCGACGGCATCACAGTTTGTAGTTGGTTGTTCAGTAGCAGTCACGGTAATTCCATCACTAGCAGCCGCAATAATAGTTCCAGCTTGGGTAACACACATAAATTTTCCCGAGTTAGAGAAGCTCGTTGACGTTTGATTTGTGGCAGCTGCGAAGGTTCCACCCTTTGAGGTCATTGATGATTGCAATGGCTTTCGTTGAGCATTTCGTACAATTTGTTTATACCAACAGGCAATACCAACAATCAGTAGAAGGGCCAGCATCAACAGAAAATGCATAGATGAGCATTTGAAGAGGGCAGTAGAGCCAGCGTTGATTTTGTTGATGCGCCACGAGCATGCTGAACAAACACGATTGGAACGGTTAGAACTGTTAGACCCATTATCAGTTGGACGAGTCAATTGACCATTTTTAGATTTGCGCAGGTTGGCTTTTAGTATATCCGAATTTAACCACACTTTGCGTCGACGGTGACGGTTGGTTCTTCCGTTGTGCACAGTTGAGCTGGTTGACGACTGGAAGTCAGTTTCAGAGTCGTTAAGTGAGCTAGTGAAGACCATTCCAGAGTAGGTCACTTCAGGCTGCGGTGGTGTAGGAACTCTCCAATTTGCTTCAGATGGTCCTTTGTGGTGGCCAGTTGGGTAGTACACACGCTTTCTGGGTTGAGTTTGTTTCCAATTGGCTTCAGACGGTCCATCGTGGTGACCATTTGGGTAGTACGCACGCTTTTTCGGTTGACGTTGTGTACACAGCATGAAGTGGTGTCGGCCTCCACATCTACGGCATTTATTGGCAGCACGGCATTTGTTGAGCATATGACCATCGTATAAGCAGTTGAGGCAACGTCCTTGTTCAAATAGACGGGCTTTGCGTCTGTTGCGGGAGTTGAACATCGGACAACGGCTTGGTTTGTGTGTTGACCCAGTACGGCAGAGTGAGCAACCATTTTCTTCAATTGGTGACTGTGGTGGACAAGCATATAGTTCAGGCTGTTCGTCAAGTTGCTGTGGTGATTGTGCAGTCATGAATGAACGAGAGACATCAGCTGGTCCGTTGTGATTACTTCGTTCAGTCGGCTGGCTGTAGTGAGGTTTCTCCTTAAGCATGGTTGGTTGTTCCAACTTGGTTGGACGAAGTGTGGTGCTTTGATCGTCCACCCCTGTGGCAGACTTCTCACTTCGTTGAGACGAAACAGGACCCAGATTTAGTGCACGTCTTTGTTGTAACTCCACGTTGGCCAAGACAACCAGTTCATAAGATCGTTCAATTTGAGTGAAAACAGTAAGTTCATCCGCCATTCTTGCTTCACCTCGTGGCAATGGAAACGCTTGTAAAACATCCATTTCTTTTTGTTGTTGAGTTGGAGCAACAACCACATACCATTTGTCAACCAGCACTTCTGCTCTTCCAATAGATTGTTTGAGTTGGAATGCCAAACGTTCCAAGTGATCATCGTCTTGTGTTGTAGTGTTGCTAGCATTGAGGGCAGTCAGAACAGCAAACCCTTTATCCTTCATAGTGGCCAGGACCATTGACAATTGTAGTTGAATCACACCAGACATTGATGTGGCTGTAGCTCAGCTCACTGGTGTAGTAGTAGTTGTAGTATTGGTTGTTTTGTTGGTGGCTGTCGTTCAGCTCAACCAAACAGAGTAGTTGTTGTCGTGGCTGTTGCTCAGCACACACACCAAAATTTGGAGTAGTTGTTGTGGTGTTGGTAGTTAATGTAGTAGTAGCTGTTGTTGTTGTTGAGTGTTGTGGCGGTGGTTCCGCTCACACACGAGTAGTTGAAGTTGTCGGTGTAGTAGTGTTGTGGTGGTGGCTGTAGTGCAGCTCACACACAAAAAATGGAGTGGTTGTTGTAGTGTTGTGGCGGTGGCTCCGCTCACACGCGAGTAGTTGAAGTTGGTGTAGTTGTGGTGGTGGCTGTAGTGCAGCTCACGCACGAGTAGTTGTAGTGTTGGTGGCTGTTGCTCAGCTCAACCAAAATAGTAGTTGTTGTTGTTGTAGTGGTGGTGTAGTGTTGTCCCCGTCTTCCCGGGTCGTGGCACCACTTTTTGTAGAGGAAAGAGAGGGGTCGGGACGGCACCTCCTTATCCTCACAAAAATTGGGGTGGTGGTTGAAGAGTTGAGTCGTGGCACCAGCTAGTGAATTGTGGCACTAGCACCAGACTGTTGGTAGTGCCAACAGTCGAAGGAAGAGAAGGGCGGTGAGTGACTCGGAGCACGCGTCACTTTAGCCAAGAAGAGTAGTGGTGAACGGTAGTGCCGTTCACTTTACCAACCAAACAAAAAACACAAGTCCAGCCAAAAAAAGTTTATTTTCCACAAACAAATAAACAAAGGTAGCGAACAAGTTGAGGGCCAGCAAGGGCCAGCGAAGCAGATCAGCCACAAGTAGTTGATGGTAGTTGAAGTGGTTGAAGAAGAATGAGGAATATTTAGGTGGCTGATCTACCTCTTAAATAGGCACAAAATAAGGGCGGGGTTTGGCATTAAAAATTCCAAAAAATGTAAGTTTGAAAAATTTGCGCGAAGTGGCTAGAGAAAAATAAAACAGAAGGGAAGACTCGGCAAGAGAAGCCAAGTCCAAAAACAAAAGAAAAAATGAGTAAGAGAACGGAGGGTGGCTGGCACGAACGGACACAAAAAATAAATGAAAGGAATTTAGGCGGGAAAACAATTCAAAAAACAAAGAGTGGACGATGAAAATATGAACGGTGAACGAGCAAAAAATTAACCAAACTTGAACGAGTAAAAAAGTGATCAAAAGTCGCCAATGTTTGGCGACATTTTGAATATTAGCGAGGCTGATATTCAAAATCTCAACTATGGTTCCGCCCCGACAGTAAAATTTCCGAAAAAAAACTCTAAATGAGGATTCTTTTAAATATTGGAGATTTTTTAAATAAATACTTAATCAAATGACCAATTATTTTGGGGAAATACGGTAATTAAAAGAAGTTAAGCCTTTATTTAGTTAATTTTGAAGAGATTGGAATGAGATGATAAATAAATATTTATTTAGGTTTATTAATTAAGATTGGGAAAATTTTTTGAAAAACTTTTCTGAAAATAAATATTCTCTTTTAACTATTTATTTATTCTAAACAATTCTAGACAAAATATTTAATTTACAGAATCTTTAAATTTATGTAAAATGACGTTAATTTAAATATTTTTTATTATTTAATTTAAATTTATTAAATAAATTCTCCTTTTTTCTTTCTTTAAACAAGCAAAACCCTTCAAAATCCCTTTTGACTTAAAGAAATATTTTTTGGATTACAGCAACTACGTAATTAATCCCCTAAATCCTCCCCAAGTGCTTCGACAACGGAAATTCTCTTTAACGAAAGCCTTTAAAAAATTTTAAATACTTTTGAGCTGATTTGAGAAAAAATTATTATTTTTTTTGTTAGAAATATTTCCGGGGAAAAAAAGAAATGAAAATTAATGCGCAAACAAAAAAAAAATATAAAAAAGTCTAGCACGTTTAAATAAAAATTAATTAAAAATATATTTTAAATTAAAATTAATTAATTAAAAACTCTAATATTTATTTGCAAATACATAAAAATTATTTTTTTATTAAAGAAAAGCTTTTAAAATTACTTTTTTTAATCCGATTTATATTTATTTAAATATTTTTTGTTGACATTCTTTTTAAATAAATATTATTTTTTTTATTTATCCATTAGAGAGCTTCCGTTAATCTTTTCTGAATCCTTTCAATTTATTTAAATAAAATCTTTTAAAATATTTTCTTTTCATTTTAAATACATACATATATCTTCACATTTCTTTTAAAAATTCTTATTAAAATTTAAATAAAATTTTCTAAAAACAAAAATGTTAACTTCTCCATTATCTTTAATTCAACAATTAATAGTTAATAATGGAAATAAATTAATGTTCAACTTTTATAATCAAAAACAAATTATTGGTAAAAAAAATAAATAAAAATTTTAAAATATTTTTTGTAATTTTTCATCAATTAAAGCCAAAAACCACATCACAAGGTCGCCACAAAAATATATATTTTTTAGTTAAAAACCCTTAAAATTTATTTTGCGCGCCCATAACTTTTCTTCTTCTATTAAATTTTGCACTTCCATCTTCTCCTCCTCCCCCCAATTTATTCAAAACTTGAACATAAAAAAAGTTGAAGAACGAACAGTTCTTTCTTTTTCCTTTCATGATGGGGTTAGTTTAGTGGTTAGTCAGTGTTATAGTTAGTTAGGTAGTTCTTCAAAAAATTTATTTATCGTCCTTCACCTAATCAACCAATCTTTCCTTCTTTCTCTCTCCTTTTTTTGAAATTTTTATTTAAAATTTATTTCGTTCATTTTACTAAATAGTTTGTTCTTCTTTCCCGAATTGTTTCTCTTTTTTTTGCTTATTTTTCACACAAAAATATATACTTACTATAAATCAGTTTATTTTAATTAATTAAATATTTTCTTTTTTAAATTAATTTTATATTTAAAAAATGAAAAAAAAATTAAATTTAAAAAATATATATGTATGTATGTATATACAGCAAGGTGTGCCGAAACATTTTTAAAAAAGCGAAAAATGAAAGGCTAAAATGCGAAAATCAATTTAAAATGGAAAGGCGAAATTTGGATTTTTAAAATTTCCATTAGATTATTAAAATACATATTTAATCGTTTTTCTACTTTCGGTTGACCGGAAGTGCATTCTCTCTCATGAATTTTCCCCTTTAGACATTTTTTTCCTATGCTTCAGAAATACAGAAAAAGTGGTTTTGCTTGTTTTAAATTTTATTTATTTTTATATGTGAGAAAATCGAATAGAACATCTATTTTAATCTTTGAAGGTTCAGGTTGAATGAGGAGGGTGAGGGAGGGGATGTTTATATACATATAAAATTTAATATAACCAGGGATAGAGAGAGAATTTCAAATCAGAATTTTTCTACATAATCTACTCTAAATTTTCTTTTTTAAAATTTATTTTTTAAAGACCTTCCACCCCATTCTGTTGCTAATACTGCAGCCGTACCAGCTTTTGGGCCTTTTGAAGGCGGCCAATTTTCAAGTGCCGCCAAACCCAATTTTCTTCCAACATTTACAACAGAAACAATTGGAAATTTTCAAGTTTTGAGTGAAAAATTAGTCGAAAAAAAAGAAGAAAATAATTTGGAAGGGAAAAAGAGTACACAAGAAGAAGAAGAATTTTTGGCATTTTTAGAAAGTTGTTATTATAATAAACAAACTGAACAACAATTAAATATTGAGGAGGAAAAAGTTGGGAAAGAAATACAACAAAAACAATCTTTACCTATTTCTTTATTTGAACAAGAAAAAGAAAATACTGTACAAAAACAAAATTTAGATTTACTAAAAACAACAACGGAAGAAAAACAAAAATTTATTGTTAGTTTTAATAATTACAGTAATAATTAAAGTTAAATAAATTTATTTTATTTTAAGTCACTAACCGCGCATTCAAAAAGCAACGGTAATAACAACAACAAAAATAGTAATCCTTCACCTTTGCATTTTAACTGCGTGGAAGTGAAACAAAATAAATTTATTAGTGCAATTGAATTAAATACAAAAAGTTCGAATAACGAAAGTGGGGACAACACCGCAGAAAGCGGTGGAGGTGGAAGTTCCCCGGAAGAGAAGGGAAAGGAGGAGAAAGATATTTTTGATAGACAACAGATTTCCCCTTCTGCTATTGCAGCTGAAGTAAGGAAAATTAAAATGTTTCAGTTAAAAAAATATTTTTCCCTCAAAGGTTCAACGGGTCAGTATTGATGATAAAAAAGAAGAAAAACAAAAAACTTTTAAAATTATTTCTAATGAAAATAAACAAAAATTGGAAATGGAAAAAGAAGAAGAAAAACAACAACAACAGCAACAACAAAAGTGCAATCCAATTGAAACTCAGGGAATTGGTCGATTTGAAGGAAGAACGGGTATTAGAACATTACGGAAATATCCAGGTATTTTTATTTAAATTTATTCTAAATTTTTATTTTATTTAGCTGTTGAAGAAGAAGAACATTCAGTACTTTCTTTATTTGAACAACAACAACAATCTTCTTCATCTTCTGAACATTCTAAATTCCAATCACAACAACCCCAATTTACTCATCAACAAACATCTTCAGCTATTTCCCCACCATTATCGTCTTTTGTTCCTTCGGTTAAAAATAAAAACATATTTGTTAAATTTTATATTGTAAAGCATATATGTATAGAGTTTCACCGAAAGTTCCGGGATCAGGAACTCAAATTGGAACTGGTTCCAGTTCCTGTAAAAATTCGGTTCCGGTGAAACACTAATATGTAGCTATTTAATTCCCTAAGCTATACAGGCGTAGATTAATACATCAGTTCAGTCACCTTAGATGGTGACTCGCTCCCAGTGCAGTGTAATCTTTTGTACTGGCTGAAGGAGAAATAGCTATAGCCCATTTCTGCTTTACTGTATTTAAATTTAAACTACTTGAAAGTCTATCATCTACTAATTCTCCCCCTACTTTTTTAGCCAACAGCTGCTGCCCTTCAGTTAGCATTACTTCACCATCATCATAATCAACAACAACACCACCACCAAATCCCTTCCCCTTTAGCTATTTCAATCCCCGGAATTACAGAAACACAACCAACAACAAATACAAGGACAATAATTAAACAAGAATGTGAAGAACAAAGTAAAGAATATAGAGAATTTTATTTAAAATAATCCTTTTTTTAAAGTAAATAGAGAAGAATTATTTTCAACATTACTTCAACAACAACAACAATTAAATCAAGAACAAATTTCAGCAGCTAGTTGTTCTCCTTCTTGGATTAATACTAATTTATCTGTAAATACTACACAACAACAACAACAAGCTGTGAATGTTTTGGCTAATTTAATTGGACATGTAACTGAAATTATTATAATTATTTTTCAAATTTATTTTATTTTATTAAGATCCAACAACAAAAACAAAATTTACTAGACCAACAACAACCTTTATATATTGAAAGTCAACAACAACATTTAAATACTTCCTCCTCCTCCATTTCCTCTTCAATTTCTGCCCCAACTTCTCGTTTAGCTGCCATCCAAGAAGAACAAATTAATTTACAATTACAACAACAATCAATTGGAGATAATATTGGGGATATTAATAATATTTTTGAGAGAAATGTAAGTTAATAAAAACAAAAATATTCACTCAAAATTCTGTTTGTGTTTAAAAATTAATTTTTTGGATTTAACAGCTTTATTCAAAATAAGGCTTTGATTTTTTGTCTTAATTTTTGTCTTTTTTTAGCAATCAACAGAGTCTACAGCAAGTACTAGTGGAGTAAAGCTTTCAATAACCACCAATGTTGAACCAATCCCTCGAAAACAAGATATTCAAGTATTTTAATTAAAAATAAATTCTTAAATTAATTTTTAATTTTTGTAGACAGATATTCGGATGAATCGTGGTCGATTTAAATTAGTTAGAAAACGGGGGCGTTCTGAAGTTTGGAATTTATTTGGGCAAGTTGTGGATACATTAACAAATGCTAGATTACCTTATGTTGCTTGTTATGCATGTAAAGTACTTTATACGGACACGGGGGGCGGTACTGGGAATATGACAAGACACAGATGTTCGATGGGTTCTAGCTATAGAAATTCTGTTAGACGGTGATTTTAAATGATTTTAGAAATATTTTTTGTTTTAAGTTCATCTTCTGATACGACTGTTGGGAATGATTCTCTTTCCTTTAATCAATCTTCTTCTTCATTTGAATCTGTTGGGGGTAATAAGAATATTTAAATTTTAAATAAAATTTTTTATCACAAAAATAGTTGGCGGCGCCCCTTTTCGTCATCAAAGCGGTGAAAGTACAACTACTTCTATCCAACCTCCCCCAACATCCCCTCAACAAGAATTATTAACAACACAACAAGAACAAAATTTACGTATTTTAGCTCAACAACATCAAAGAAAAGTTGCTGCAGCAGCGGCGGCGGCAGCTTTGATATTAGAGCAACAACAACAACAGCAAAGAGTTTTAATCCCTCAATCAGGAAATTTTGGAAATTTTTCTGCTTCACATTCTGGCAGTAGTGGATGTAGTAATAATAGTAGTGGATTTCAATCATTGGGAAGTTTTTGTTCTTCTTCATCTACAACTACTTCAATAGAACAACAACAACATTTAACTGGACTAAATTTATCTTCATTACCTTCTGTCCCTGCTCCAACAATGCTTAATAAATTATTTGGAGGAAATAATTCTTCTTCTTCTTCAACAACTTCTGCTTCTTTAATTAGTCCAATTACAGCAGCCGCTGTTTGTATGTTTCAACAACAACAACCGTTAATTCAACCAACGCCTGTAGAAATTCCTCGACAATCAGAGGTGTTCTTTTTTAAATAATTTATTTGTCCTGACATTAATGTTAATATTTATATAAACTATGGTAGAATCCTTTTAATTTTTTTTGTGTTTACAAAAGAGGATTTAATGGAAAGTTTTAATTTTAAGGAAAAACAACATCAACAAACACATTTCGGTCTTCTCTCTACAATATCACCAGAATATGATTCAGCTGCTTCTGCCCCAAGTGTTGAGCAAGGAGAGATTATTAATTATTGTGGGTCAACATCCTCATTAACTGGACAGGAAGATCAATTATCAAATAAAAAAGAAGAATTGCTAACTTCCTCCTTTTCTGGCCATCATTTTACTTCAACAGACCGCCAATTATTTTCCCAAGCAGTGATGAATTTTTGTTCTCAAGATTTGTTAAAATGGGAAATTGTTGAAGGGGAAGGGTTTCAAAATTTGGTTGAAACTTTAATTTTTATTGGACGCCGATCCTCTACGGGTATTTCTTCTTCTTCAACAACAATTAAACAACAATTTGATCCAATAAAAAGGCAATTAATTCAAACAGGAAATCAAATGAAAAAAGTTTTTTAAAGGAAATGTTCTTTTTTTAATAAGAAATCTTTTTAAAGATATTTTTATCCCAAGAAAAGGCTATTTTTCAATCAACTAAAAATGACCTTGAACAAATTAAAAATGTTGGAATTTCATTAAATTGTCATCAAATAGAATTTGGAGGGGAAATACAATTAGTTATTTCAATTAATTATATAACTGATGATTGGAGAATTACTCAAAGAATTCTTAAGTAATTAATAAATTTATAGGGGGGGGGGGTAAATTAATAAATTATAACCCCATCTTGTTTTTTCTGTGTTTCTAAGATCCTATTGTCCCGTTAATCTGAAATTTTTAAAGAAAATTTATAAACACTGCCACAAAATCCTTTAAGAAATATTTTACTTAATCGGTTTTTATCGAGTCTTTTTTTCTCAAAAATTATTAAGAATTTATAACTCCCCTTCAAAGAAATTGCCGTGATTTTTACAGAAATTTTTGTCCGAAACTTTTTTTTAACATAAGTTCCCACAATTTAACATAATCTTTGTAATCTCGCCAGTAACCATGAACAATGGGCAACTTTCAGGACAATCAGACCAACTCTTCTAGAGCCCTATTTTCTTTGCACGAGGCGCAAAAAATATAATATAAATATATTGATAATTAAAAAAATATTTCATTTAGAGTTCAAACTTTAAAAGAATTAAAAACTAATTATTGTAACAATCACCAATACCAACAAACAACATCAACAATAACATTTCAAATATTTAGTCAATTTATTTTGGATATTTTAAAAGAATTTAAATTAGATAAAAGTCCTCTAATAACAATTACAATTGAAGAAAATATTAAAATATTTGAAGAAGGAGAGGAGGTTGTGGAGGAGAAGGAAGAGAAAGAATTGATTAAAACAAAATTATTAAATAATTTTTCATCAAAAAATATAACTCCTCCAAATTTATTTTTTAATTTAAAAGAAGAATTAAATAATATTTTAATTAAATGTTTAAATAACCAACAATTAATTATTAAATTAATTTATTTATTTATTCGAATAATTGAAGTTTTGGCTAAATCAGATTTTGGGTGTGGACAGTTTCTGGAATTGGAAAATTTGGAAAAACAAATAAAACAACAAACAACTAAAACAAAATTTGATTTTACAAATATTGTAATTAATTAATTAATTAATTTAGATTTAAGAATACTCTTTCTCTCTTTGAGGGGGGGGGAATAAATTATTATTTAAAACTAAAGGGAATATTTATCCTAAATTGAGACTATTTAATTTAGCTATTTATTCAATTATATTAAATAGACATTCATAAATTTATTTATCTAATTTTTAGATTTACCCTTCAATAAAATTTATTCGAGAGCATTGTTCTGATATTTTAACATTTTTGGAGGAAGAAAAAATTGAAAATGAAGAGGAAGAAGGAGGAGAAAAAGAGGAAAATATAAATTTATTTAAAGAATTTAGTGAAATTAATTGGCAAATAATTTGTGAATTGGAGACTTTTTTGGAACCTTTTTATGAAACTTCTCAAATATTTTTAGATTTAAATAAACCACATTTCCATAAGGTTTTTATTTAAATAAAAACAAAATTTTTCTAAATTAAAAAAAAAGATTTTGCCTGAATTGTTTGCTTTAATACATGAATGTAATCAACAATCAACAATTAAAGAAGAAGAAAAAGAAGAAGGAATATTTTCTTTAGCTTCTGTTCGCCTTTCTGCTACTTTATATTTAAAAGAATGGGCAAATAAAAATATTTGTTTGGAACATCGAGTTGCGGTGAAAAATTTAAAGAAAATTTAAAAGAAAAATAAAACAATTTTTAGACAGCATTAAATCCTCGTCTTCGTCATTTACCCTTAATTTGTTCAGATTCTGAGCGTTTGTCTGTTTATGAAAAAATTCGTGAAATGGCTAATTTAGACAAAAAACTAAAAGAATCTATAAAAAGTTTTTTAATTAAAATAAATAAATTATTTATTTATTTTATTTAAAGAAGAAGAAGAACACCACCACCAACAACCTTTTTGTAAAAGACGGCGATTTTTGGATCAGTTAGAGGGTTGTTCTTTACAAGAAGTGAAAGAGGAAGATGAATTAGATTGTTATTTAAAAGCAACATTTACGTCTTCACAGACTAGGTAATTGAAGAATGTTGATAGTCCTCCCGATATCCCTTCAAATCCCTCCAGTAGGAATCAATCGAAACATATACAAGGGAGTAGTAACTATTCACACCTAACTATATGCACTATTAATTTAGAAATTATTCAAAAATAATTTTAATTTTAACCAAAATTTCTATTTAATTTAGTGATATTCTTGAATTTTGGTCTTCAATTGGAGAAGAACAATTCCCCCGTTTAGCTAAACTTGCACGTTTTCTTTTGGGTATTTCTGTTGCTCCTTTACCCTTAATAAATAAAAAAGGAGGAATAAATAGTGGATTAAATTCTGATGAAATTGGAATTTTGTTAAATTTAAGGTAAAAAATTTTTAGAGAAAAAAATTAAATTAATTTTTTCCAAATTTTAGACCAAATATTTTAAATTCTGTAAATCACCAATTGTTGTCTCGTTATAAACAACAACAACAATAATTCTTTTTGAGTTAGTTACTCAAGTTAAAACGTTCAGCAACGAGTCCTTTCTCCTCTTGTCGGCCGTTTGCTGTTCATAATTTGTATATCCCTATAATGGGATGAAATTCTCTTTTCTTTTTTTTTCTCTTTTTTTAAATTTACTAAATCTCCAAATTTATTTATTTTAAAAAAGTTTTTTTTGCAATTCTTCTTCCCTTTTTTCTTAAATAAATACTTAAAAAGTGCATATATTTTTCTTTTTTTTCCTTCCAAATTCGCGTATATACTTTATTTTAAATAAACTGTAATAAAATAATTGTTGCAATGAAAACCAAAAAAATATTTTTAGAAAAGGCATTTTTCTTTCTTTTTTCTTTTTTTAATTTTAAATAAATACATTTAATTAATTAATAATTTTTTTGATTTTTTGAAATTAAATTTTTTGTAAATGTATTTATTTTATTTTTTTCTTTTTTTAATTCCAGGTAACCACAAAATCCCATAGAACAATTACTATACTATATATATTTTTTGTATTTGTATTATTTAGTATGTATTTTTTAAAATTCTCTCTCAATTACCGCATTATTCTAAAATAAATTTATTTATTTATAATTTAATGGGAAAAAATATTAATTTATCTTAAGGAAAACTCTGAGACTAAAAATAGGGAAGGACGGACTATCCATAAAGTACCTAAATTATAAATAAATAAATTTATGTAAAAACAATTATTTATGTTGTGATTTTTAAATGTTTTTTTTTCTCTTTTTTTACTTGTAATTCTTTCCCTATTCTCAACTTTTTGTCGATAGTTTTTTAGAGACCGGTTTGATGTCCATTTTTTAACCGAAAAACTGACAAATTTAAAATTAAAACAAAAATTTTAAAAACTTTCATTTTGTTAATCGAAAATTCAAAAAATTTCGCCTGCAGCGCTGAAATATGGAATTTAGACACTTTCGGCGCCTGAATTTACATTATTTTTCCTTGGCTTTTTCCGCGAAGCCATGCGAAGGGATGAATCAACAAATAGTTATTTTGTCTAAATAAGCTCTCTCGAATGAGCTATCATTTGTACACTCAAATTTCTACCTTTACCCTAGATATATCATACAGTAAGGTGCAAAAGTTTATGCCGCTACACCTCGCACGCAGAAAAGTCGATTTATCTCAGGAAGAAAAGGGACTTAAATAAAATCGATTATATATTAATTAAATATAGTTCATCCTTTATAATATCCATAAAAAAAATTTTTTTAATAACTAAATTATTCAAAATTTATTCGGTCATAACTTATTTGCCTCAAATTTTGGGGGAGCAAAAGTTTATGCCGCTTGTAGGGAAAAAAATTTTTTGGTTCCAAAACAAGAAGAAAAAAATTACAAATTTTTTTTATAAATATTTCCATTGATAATGAATGGAAAAAGAGAAAAAACGAAGTCTGTACTTGCTTTATTCATTGAGATCCCAAATCTCAAAAATCAACGGGAAATGAGGTTACAGTACTTGAAAAAATATTTTAACTCCCTAGGGCCTGTATTAAAAATTTTTTTTGGGCTCATTAGAAAGCCCATAAAATTTGCTACAAAGTACATTTTGTCTCATATGTGTAAAAAATTTCAGATTCGAGATAGGGTGGCTTGAATTGACAATGTTGCCAAAATCACTCTAAATACCCTATAGAATGCTCATTTTTATTTCTTCGGTAATTCATGTCACCCTATCTCGGAGTTGAAATTTTTCATAGATAGGAGACCAACCGTATTTTGTAGTAAATTTTATGGGCTTTCAAATGAGCTTAAAACAAAAATTTAAAAAAATCCATTAGGGGTCGAAAATATTTTTTCAATTACTTTACCCCGATTTTACGTTGATTTTTGAGATTTTTGATCTTGATGAAAAAATTATTTATCGAACTCATTCTTTTTGCTTTTCCATTCAGTATTAATGAAAATGTTTATAAAAAATTTCGGAACTTTTTTCGACTTGTTTTAGAACCAAAAAAATTTTTTTCCTACAAGCGGCATAAACTTTTGCTCCACCAAAATTGGAGGCAGGTAGGTTTTGGCGCCTATAATTTTTGATTAAAATGGGGGTGGGAAATTTTTTTAGTAAATTTTAATAATACAATACCTACCCCTAAATAATACATAATTGATTTAATTTAAGTCCCTTCTGTTCTAGAGTTATAACGATTTTTTTGCCTGCAATGTACAGCGGCATAAACTTTTGCACCTTACTGTATGTAGGGAATGAGAGTGGCACCTTTCATCGAATAATATATAGTTTTGAACTTTTGCTTTCTAAACTTCAGATTTAAAAAACAACTTTTCGATTTTTTTATATTTAACCGACAAATACTGACCGATGCTTTCTGCCAGTCTCTAATTTTTTTCAAAAATAAGCACAATTTCAAATAAAAATAAAAAGAAATATTTTTAAAGTGAATTGAAAATATTTTGTTTTTAATTGTATGTGTTTGTGTTTGTATTATTTTAAATAAAGAGAATTTGTGTAAATAATAATTAATTAATTATCCTTTTTTAGATTTTGAATAAATATTTAAAAATATTTTTTTAATTTTTTGAATTTTTATTTAAACAAAGAAAATATTTAATACTTAATCTTGCTATAAAATTAATGTAACAGACTAGAAAGGACAAATAAATATTTTTAATTATTTAAATATTGAAGGCAATTTAAATAAATAAAAGTTTGTTTTTTATAAAATTTATTTTTTTATTTCCGTCCATCTTCCACTTTATAAAAAACATTCTTTTGTTACTAAATAAATACTTTAGTATATACTATAATATTTAGTTCAACATTAAAGAGAATATCATCGATTATTTTTAAAATTCTTCGTTTTGTGAAGAGTATTTCCAGCCGCATTTTAAAAAAAGAGGAAGAAGATAGAGAAGTGTGTCTTCTTTTACTAAACATTTTATTTTGATATTATTTATTTTGCTAAATTACTAATCAATTATTGCAAATTATTTTAAAAATATAAAATATTTGGTATTATAAATAGAAGTATATTTCGATTAATTAGAAATTGAAAAGTTCATGATCAGGATTCAACCTCTACAATATATTATAGCCGAAGCTAGACGGCCGGCAATTCTTAAAAATTATAAAGCAAATTCATAATTAATGTGAAAATATTTTACCTTTTAATTTTTGTGCTAAATTTGATTTTTTTAATTTTAGAAAGCCTAATTAATTAACTTTTCTTTTAAAGAAAATATTTTTTTATTATTATTTTATTTGTTTATACTATTTAAATATATTCACATTTTTATTTAAAATTGATTGATTACTTTGCGCAGCACGTCAATTTTTATACTGTTTTATTACCATATATTTTCTTTAAATTTATTTTTCAGAATGAATATTTAATTTAAATATTTTCTAACAAATATTTTTAAAAATTTTTATTTTTTTTATTTTGAAATTAAATAATGAAGAATAATGAAGAAAAAGAATTACAGGTTAATTTAATTACAATTAAAAAATATTTCTTTTTAGAGTTTGCGGGATGAAATTTTGGAAATGACTAAAAGATTGGAAATTGCTGATAAAGAAAAGGCGCAGGCTGGGGAATTGGGATTACATTTATTGAAGGAAAAAGAACAATTGGAATTAACACACGAGGTTTTGAAATAAAAAATAAAGGAATTTTTTGAAAAGAGTATTTTTAATTAAAAATTAATTTAAACCCTTAGATAGACTGACCATCTTTTACATATTTACCGAAAAGGCACCGGGCACCTTAATCTCTACAAGTGCTTAAATTCCCGAATTCTTTCTTAAATAAATTTTATTTTCTTTTTAAAGGCTCTTTTAAAAGAATTTGAAGTAATTCGTTCAGAACTTGAAAAAACACAACAAAAATTAACTTTGTTTCGTTCTTCACAATGTAATGCTGAGGCTAATGAATTAAATCAGGAAATGGATGAAGATTCGGCAGCTTTAGAGGCTCGGTTTGCCGATAAAGTGAAAACTTTGGAATCGGCTAAAAAACATTTACAAGAAGTTTTTTTTTGAAATAAATTTTTTAAAAATAATTTTTTTAAGCAATTAATTGTTTATAAATCTGATTCTGAAAGACTTCAACAAGAATTAATTTTAATTCAAACAAGAGTAGAAGAATTGGAAATTGAAAGAAAAACGTTAAAAGAAGAGGTTTTTAAATTGTTTTTAGAATGTTTTTTAAATATTTAATTTTAGTTAAAAGAATTACGTACTCGAGAGCAACAATTAATTGGGGAAAATTATGAATTGGAAGAAGAAAATGTTGCTTTACTTAAACAAGTTTTTTTGGGGTTTTAAATTTCTTTTTTTTTTATTTTTAAAAGGTTTCAAATCTGAGATCTGCGCAAATTGAATTTGAATCAATGAAATTACAAATAAAAGGAATGTTGGATGAAATGATTATTTTACAAACATCTGCTGAAGAAGCTGAAAAAGTATTTTCTTTTTTTAATTTAATTTTATTTTAAATTTCTAAAGCTTCGTTCATTGGCTGAACATCAAGTGGCTGATGCATTGGCAACTGCTCAACATGAAAGAGAACATCGATTGGCTTTAAAAAAGGAATTTGAACAGGTTTTTAGATTATATGTTAATAAATACATAGAATTTTTTGGAAGAAATTTTTTTTAATTTTTTGAGAAATGTCCATCCTTTTTTTAAATTTATTAAAATAATTTTTAATCTTTTTCAAGCTTCGAAATCAAGAACATTTAGCTTCATTAAATAGTTTATATTTGGGTATTAAAGGTGCTCATGAAGTCCATGACAGAGATACTATGAAACAGGTTTTTTGAAATATTTTTGAGAATTTAAATAAATTTTTTTCTAGTTAGAAAGTTCTTTTATTGCTGAAGAATCTTTAAATTGTTTAAAAGGAAATGGTAAGGGATTTATTTTTGGATTTTTTAAAAATATTTTTAATTAAGAAATTATCAAAAACGGCAACAACGGGGGAGAGAAAGATCTTTTTTCAGAATTACACGGATCAGAATTAACAGAACAATTAAATAAATTTCAAACAGAAAATCAACGGTTAATTAATTTACGTGCAGAACAGTCCAAACAATTTGCCCAAATGTTAATTCCTTTTTTTCAAAAATTGGATATTGGAATTGTTGGAGTTAATTTTGGTTTGAAAATTAATTTTAATTAAATTAAAAAATTAATTTCTTTTAAAGAAGAATTTGAATTAACAAAATTAAAAGAATATATGTCTTTGGCAATGGAAAGACTTGAAGAACGTATTGGCCCTCAAAAAGAAGCTAAAAATATGCAAAAACGTTTGGAAAAATTAAAAGGTTTTTTTGTTTAAAAATTTAAAAAAAATTTAAAATTGCAGAAAGTCTTCGAAAAGCAATAATTTTAGCAGCAAGGAAAGATGCTTGGTTATTAAATTCTCAACAGATGATTGTCCAAATGGGACAAGCTTTATATTCTTTTTATATTGAATTAATTGTTGGGGAACAAATAAATAATGAAAAAAGTTTGGAAAAAAATATTTTTTTAATTAAAAATAATTATTTTTTAAGTAACTCCAGAATTGGATATTAAATTAAAAAATATTAATGAATTAGTTAATAAATTAAATTCTATTGAGGAATGTTTACAAACAGAAGAAGAAAGAGAAGAAAATAAGTTTGTTTAATTTATCTTTAAATAAAATTAAAATAATTTTAGGTAAATTTTAAAAATAATTTTTAAAAATTTATTTTTAAAGTTCTCATCATCAATTAAATAATTCTTCTTCTTCTTCAATTAATTCTCCTCCACTTCTAACACCATTACAAACCTCTTCACAATCAAATCCTTCAATTTCTCCCCCACCAATTGTCGAAGCACCTCCAGATCCAAAACAACAACAACACCAAAATAATCGATTATTAAATGTTCGTTCCCCACGTATTACTCCATTAATGCCAGAAATTTGTCGTCCAATTTTTTCAAAAAAATTTTTAGAAGAAATTTCATCAGCTAAAATTTGTAATAATTTGGAAGAAAATTTAATTGATGAAGAAAATATTTTATTAAAAAATTCTTTTCTAGAAGAAATTGATTTAAGAGAAAGACTTCCAATTGAAGAAAAAAATAATAATATCCAATCATCATTTATAACAATAATTGAATTATTTAAAATAATTAAATCGGCAACAGAAGAAAAATTATTATTAAATGGAATTACTTTAAGAAATAAAAATGAAACAGAAATTAGACAAGAAAATAATAAATTAAAAGAATTATTGGCTGTTAAAAGAGAACAAGTTTCTTCTCTTCGGTCTGTTCTTCGTTCAAATAAAAGTTCAACAGAAGGGGCATTTAATTGTTTAAAAGAAAAATATGAATCAGAAAATAAATTAAAAGATGAAACTTTGGAGGTTTTTTTTGTTTTAATTAAAGAAAATCTAATTTTTTTAAAGAATTTACGTTCACAATTAAAACTCTTTAAAGAAGATGCTGCTACTTTTGCTTCTCATAGAGCAATGTTTACTGCTCGTACTGAAGACTTACAACAACAATTAGAATCAGCACAGAATTTATTAAAAACGGCAGATGAAGAAAAGAAAACATTAAATCAATTACTTAGAATGAGTATACAACAAAAATTAATGATTACCCAAAGAATGGAAGAATTAGAAATGACTGCTGAACGACAATATCAACAAGTTTTTTTAATTAAAATTTTTTTTTAATTTTTTTCATAAGAGAACTCCAACTTCTACAGACCCCCATCATCATCACCACCAACCACCAACATTAAAAAGAGGAGGAATGTCTTCAGGAACATCAAGAAGTGGGGGAGGTGGTGGTCAAGGAGGGGGAGGAGGAGGAGGAATGACACGAACAGTTCGATATCCAGGTTAAAATATTTTTTTTAAATTAAAAAAACTTCTCTTAGGGCCTTCGACAACAAACCAACAAAATGGTGGAATAAACAGAGGAAAACAATAAAAAAATTTCTCTCTTATTAGAAAAATGGTAAAGTATGGAAAAACGATACGACGGGTGACAGAAACCAAAAAAGAACCTTTTTGTAAAGAAGGAAATATTAAAAAACCTTTTCATATACATAGAATGCCTTAAAATACGAGCAATTTAAAAGTATTTATAGGGTATTTTAATTTTTGATATTTCAAATTGCTCGAAATTGATTTTTTATCCAAAGAATTCTCAAATTTTCATTTTTCAAAGAATTGTTAATAATTACTTAAGTTTATAAAATAAAAGAAATACAACCAATTTTTGGCATTAATAATTTATTAAATAATGAGATTAAAAAAAGATATTGGAACTGAAGAAAGAAAATTTCAAAGGGAAAATAGTCCAACATTACAAACTTTTATTTGGCTGATGAGATTTAAAAATTATTTCTCATTATTTTGAAATCTTTTGACGTTGTTGTAAAAGACAATTTTCCAATTTGCGAGCTGCTTGTGCATGTGCAGACGGCCGGCCTCGTTGTCGATTAATGTGAGATTGGCAAAAATCAGAAGAATTTGTTGGCGTTTGTATTTCTAGTTTAATAGCGTTATTTTGTGTAGACTGAAAAATAAAAAAATTATTTAAATATCCTAAACTTGTTTTGAAGAAAGCAACAAAAATATCATAATTTTTTATTTTAATTTAAAATTTAAATTTCAAACCAAGCTATTAGAAGATGAAGATCCTTGACTAACAGAAAACATTCGTTGTTGTATTTCTTCTCGTGATAAAGCAAATGGAGAATTCCCATTATTTGTAGTAGAAGGTGCAGATGAACAACTTGAACTAAAATTTAAACGTTCTTGATGGTTTGAGTAATTTTTTGTTGCTGGAAACGAAAAACGCCGAGGTTTTAAATTTGGTGGCATTCCAACAGAACCACTTTGAAGTGCATCTAATTCATTAGGCCGTTCCATTGCAATTAAAATTCCAGGCTAAATAAAATAGAATTGAATTCAGCTAATATGTCTCCCCCTCAGAATCGTGCCAGTTTATGAATGAGAGCGACGTGTGAATGGGGAGATGTTTGTAAAAATATTACATTTTTAGATTAATTTCATAAGCTCAAAATGTCTAGTCTTTACAAGATGATTCAATTTAAATAGTAAAATACCTCATCCCTTTCACGCCATTTTTTTAATTCGTGATCCATTTTTGCTCGGCGTGGAGGATTCATAGTCCAAAGACACGCTGAAATTAACTATTATTTTTAAATAAATAATTAAAAAAACATTTTCGTCCATGACTATTTGGCGGTTCAATTTCAATTTTTCGAAAACATTTATTTAAAGAGAGATTGTGCCGAACTGAATTTTTCCAGCCACTTGGCGCTTCACGAAAAAATGGGAAATGATGACTAAAAATAAATTAAAAATCAAATGTTTTCTAACTTTAACAAACCAAAGAAAAGCGTAAATTTCCGAGACTGTCAACTTTAAAAAATTAAAAATTACAAAATCAAATAAATACAGAGGCTATAGTATTTGTATTTTAAATGAAAGTACCAAATTTTACATTAAAAGTAAATTTTGGTTTCTTGGCTTTTTTAAACCAAAAATTTTCGATACTTTTTTCATCCCCACCCCCTAGTCTGCGATTTAGTTAAAGTACGAAATGGTAAGTCATTTTTTCCTGGCATAAGTTGAAAAATTTGCCTGTGGCCACACTAACTTTTCCTTCAATTCAGGCAATTTTTTTTGTTTTTGATTGCCTGTCTCACACATTTGCCCTGGTTATTTGTAAATGACTGAATAAATCGATGTTCCTTTTTTATATTTAAAGACGGTTACAAATGAAAAGTGCAATTATTGAAGGGAGAGTGAGTGAATTAATGTGACCAAAGGCAAATTTTTTAAACTTATGCTAGGAAAAATGACTGACCATTTCGTACTTCAAATAAATCGCGGACAGGGGGGAGGGGAATGAAATAAGTACCAAAGTTCCATATAATTTGGATGAAAAGTCAAATTTTTTTACACATGCTAATTTATAAAATAATTTTCCAAATTCAAAAACCTCTCCAGTAGTACTATTTTTTAGTGCCAGACCAATTAAGCAAGAATAGGAATAAGCTGGCTTTGCAAATCCATTAGGTGCTACAGGTAATTCTCTCGGTTGTTCAGGCTCTTTCAAATTATAATTTAAAATATTTTTTAAAAATAAACTTTAAAAAACCTTCTTCAACCACTTCAACAACACTATTTTCTTTTCCTTCCAATTTTATATTAACAGAGTTTTTAACAATTTTTTGTCGTTTATTAGGAAAAGTTGTCCCTTCTGCCGAATCTTCATCTAATCGCCAATGAGCAGGAGGACCAGAAATAAGCTTAGGTGTTTCCTCAATATTATTTTCCAAAATTAATTTATTATTCGAAACTTCTTTCTTTTCCAATTTAAAATTTTGATTGTTAGAAGACAAAGAAAATTGCTTAAAAAATAGAATAATTTTTTAAAAATAAACCTTTAATCTATTTACTGGGCGTAATGAAGTATTTTCAATAGTTTGAAGTCGATTAAATGGTTCACGCTTTGGGGACTGTTGATTATGCAAAATATTTGGAATTGAAGTAATCGATCGATTGCTGTGAAGATTCTCATTGTTTACTTCATAAAAAGGATCAAATTGCTCATTTTGTGAGTGTTGATTATTATTCTAATAAGAAAAAGTAATCAATTTTAGATTAAAAATTTACATGATAAAAAAGGTTTCCCCCTTTTAAATATCTCTGACAACAAGTAAATCAATCAAGTGGGGTTGATAAAGGGGAAACAGGGAACAAATAAAGAAACATAATCCAAAATAAATGGAAACTAGAAATATATTAGTCCAAAAGATAACAAATTCAGCCCATAAAATTATCAAAAAAATTAAATATACTTGTGTATAGAGTAAATCTTGTTGAGAATTTTCAAAAGAACAATCATCCAAACGTGGTTGCCAATACGTTGTTGTCGCTGTACTTGATCCAAATGAAGGTTGATTAAATTGTTGAAAAAGGTCAACATCAGGCCCTATAAGATTTCCAATAGGCGAAAATGGTGGAGCTGCTGGATCGTCACAACTATGTAAAAATTGTTCAAAACCTTGTTGTTGACTCATTGGTCGCGAATTAACAAACAATGGAGGATCAGCAGAAATTGAGTGTTGAGAACTATTTGATTCATCGGCATATTCATATCTAAATAATATTTTAAAGAGGTTTAGAAAATATAAAATTAATAAAACCTTATTTGTGGATAAGAAGACATATTCCCTATTTATTTTAATTAACAATGTTTAATAAAATTAATTAATAAACATTTAAATAATACAAAAAATAATAATCTAAAATAATTAAATAAAAATTGTAAAAACCAATTTACTTAAAAATAGCAAGAATATAAAAGAAAACAATAAGAGAAAATAGGAGAGTATGGACTAGAGAACAATTTCCCGCCATTTTTTCCCTTGCAGAAAAACTGCGCATGAATCCAAAATAAAAGATATGTATTAGCTATGTATTATAGGGGATTTGAGAAGAATAAGTAAAAAATTAAATATAAAGATAATTTAATCATGAATATCAATTATTCATTTGAAGAACAAATACAAAATTTATAATAAACTTTATATTAAATTCCTACATATAATATAATCATTTTAACAATATTATCTATCATAGAAATTATTTGTTTTCTTTACATTTTCTTCATCTAAAAGCCAATTATTTTCATGAAAATCTTCAGAAAGATCAAGCAGCCTATTACGAATATATTCAACTTTAGTTCGTTCATCATCGAATGATTGAAATTGTTCCTCAGTAAACACAACAGGATGAAGACCAGCTTTCTTCAAGAGTCGTATACCTCTGGAAAAGTTTAAAAAATCTTTAAATTATTTTATAGAAACAGTAGTTATATTCTAAATTTATTTCACAAGAAAATCCAACCCCAAATGTTAAAAAAATACAAAAGAAAATTAGAAAATTAACATACGTTTGGCAGACACCAACTAATCTAACTGGTCCAATTTCCTCCGTTGGATCATAAATTTTTGTTAATTGTCTTTTAGTAAAGAAAAGAATCGCTATTTCTTTGCATATTGTTCCTTGTTCCCTTTCAGTTTGAATTTTTGTTAAAGGAATAAATTCCCTTTTAGAGACATCGACAAAACATCGACCTTCAATTATAACACCAGTTGCTTCATGCCATTCTTGTCCAGTACTGTATAACTGAAAATTTTACAAAAAATTTTTTTGAGATTTTTAATTTAAAAATTCTTCTAAAATTAAACAATACATTCGGTAAAACAACCAGACGCATTAAAATTTCAAAGTTTGAAAATGCTTCCATTCCTTCAGCTGTGAATTTGGTTTTTAACAAACGCCGCGTTTCCTTAATATTAAAAATAAGAAAAATCGAGAAATAATAAAAAGTTGAGAATTTAAACCAAAAAATAATTCAATTTAAAATGAAAAACTTTTCTAATTCTTGGAAAATTCGTAATCGTAAAAATTTGTCAACAGGCAATCTTTGCCGTGAGTTTAATGGAAAACTCCACCATTTTAGAAAATATAAAATTTATTGAAATTTCTCAAACCTTGGGTGTCAAGTTGTCAACAAAGAATGGTCCTTTATAATTTGCTAATTCTAATTTAGCTGCACAAGAAATTGTTTTTAATCGCAAATTGTTGTAAGCACGCTCCTTTTCACTTATAAAAATTTTTTAAACAAAATTTAAAAATTTTTATAAAATACAGTTTAAATTGAAAATTCGTTTTGATTGCATTAACAAAGTTTTTATTAAGAACAGATTCAGCAACAGAATTGTTTAGGCAATTTAAGCAAGTCAAAATATACGCAAATTCAAGCCAATCACTTTTTAAATTAAAATAAATAAAAAATATTTTTAATAAAAAAACTTTGCTGAATTTGTAGAAAAGTTTTTGATAAGTGCTTGAACAAATGGAAATGTTAAACGACAATCAACATTTGTAAGAGCAAAAGCTTTTGCGATATTATATAATAATAAAGTTCTAAATAAATTAATGTAATTTATCAAATAAAATTAATTTACGGTATTTGTTTGGATTCCAATTTTGGTTCAAGAGATTCAACAATCTGACGCCAAAAATGCCGATCAGTTAGGTGAAAACGTGCTATTAAAAACAAATATTAAATGTATTATTAAAGAATGTCTAATTAAAAACTTTAAAATATAACGAGAAAGATGGAAAAAGACTAAAATTATTTATAAATTGATAGAAACAAATTTCCAGAAAAATTTCAAAAATATAAAAATATGAAATTCCTTAAACAAGATAAATAGGTATGTATTTCACAAAGTTTGCTTATTTTTGTTTTTGTAGCCTTATTAGAGAGGGAAAAGAAAAAATTCACGAGCTGTTACACACATTCACTTAAAACACAGGGATGTAGTCTAATCTCATGACTTAAAAATGATTCGAAAATTTCAATTAAGGATTTTTGAAAAAGCGGAATTTTTATAAAAGGACCCATAAAATAATTAAATTTTTACATTAAAATTAAATAAAAAACATACCAAGCAATGCAAGAGGAAACTGAAGTGAATAAATGTCATCCCGAAACTCTAATATTTCATGTTTTAATTTAGTGACTAGACGTGCGTCATACCAACCAAGTCGTAGTAATGATTGTAAGATATTACTGACAAGAATTGGATCATTTAGAGGAATACTAAAAATAATTGAAAAATAAAATGTAAATATTTTAATTAGAGAATTTAAATATGGAATTAAAGTGAATAAATAATACAAAAATTTTGATAAAAACAAAAAATACCCACAATTCTTCTATTCGTCTGCACAGAGGTTCCAAAATATTTTCATGACAAATTCTTTCATTTCCAAAATAAATTAATAAAAATACAACAGATTTCATATCCAATCCTTTTAAATCCTTGCAAAATTTGTTGACAGTTGCTGAAGTTAATAATTCATCAAATTGTACTAATGAATTCCAATATCCACTTGCTTTCATTAATTGCCGGTGAAAATTAATAGGACTTAACAGATTCTTAAAGGAAAAATATTTTTTATAATTAAATAAACAAACATTCTTTTTTGGAGAAATACTTTCAATCGGTTGAATTAATAATTGATCAATAAAAGCTGACAATTGAAGTGTTTCATCAGATGAAGCATTTTCGATTTTTTGAATATTAAACTCTTTATTTGATACTTTAGCTGTTGATGGAAAACTAAATTTAAAGTTTTTCAAAAAATTATTTTGCAGATCTCTTCATAAATTTTGTTAATTATAAAAAAGATTAATTTAATCAAATATTGTTGAAGTATCTAGCATTTTACTGTATATTCTAGAAACCTGACAATCCCCCGAGTCTGAAACTTTGATATATAAAATTTGTCAATCCCATGTTTCACAAACGGAAAAAATCGCCAACCATTATTCATTACAATTCGCAATTATTTTTAATTAATTTAAAAAAACAAAATTTTAGTTAAATTAAACAAATGCTAACACTAAGTGTAGGTATATAAACCAATATTTTTCAGATTATAATCTAGTCATTAAATTATTTAATAAAATTTATTCTTTAAAATAAAGCGTAACAAATTTTGATAGAAAAGAATTTATTTTTGTTGTAAAATAATCAAATGTCTCTGATTATTCTAAAAATTAAACTAAAACTACTGTCAGTAATCTTTTAAGAACCGAAACTAGATGTACGTTTTTCTTTTTTACATGTATCGTGAATAATCAGAGAATGAAGAAATAAATTAAAAGAGAAATTATTTTAAAAATTTTATAAACGATGTGCAGTTTTAACATTTTCAAAAACAGCCGTTTCCAGACATGAGTGAATTTGTGCACAAGCATCTATTGCAGATTTGAGAAATTCTGTCAAATGACTTTTATGTACCAAATTCTTTAATGATATAAGTATAATCTCTTCTCTTCCACCTTTTGAATATTTAGAAAATGTATTTTCTACCAAATAAAAAACATACCAACTGTTGCAATTGTAATACGAGGAATTAATTCACTTTGTTCACGAGAACTCGTATCTGTACAAGAAACTCCATCAACACAACCACATTCAACTGCAGAAGGAAGTCCTCGCATTGGAATCCCGGCATCAGCTAATGCTAAACTCCCCGCATTTACGCACGCTGCTAAATTCCCACCATCGGCCTAAAAAATAAAAACTTTAGAAAAACTTTAACTTTTACGTTTAAAACTTGCCTCAATAACTTCGAAAAAAATGTCGATTTGACTGCGTGGATACAAATTAACAAAAATAACAGCCTCAAAGGCGCGTTCAAGCAGTCGTGAATTAGTATTTCCTCTTCTGTCACCACGTGGGCGGTTTCGACGGTCTGGCACAGAAAACGTTGATTGGCTATATTGGCAAACAACTATCGCTGACTCTTCTTGAATTCTTGATTTAATCCTCCCCTCTCGAGGTCCATAGACAGCGCAAAGAACCTTAAATATACATATTTTTAAAATAATAAATAACAAAGAAACCTTTGTACCTCCTTGTTCAATATAAGCAGAGCCATCAGCATGTGAATAAATACCCGTTTGATATAATATATTACGGATTTGTTTTGGAAGTCGAGCATCTTTACGGAAACCAAACTCACTTAACATTGCAAATATCAAACAAAACTAAATAAGAAAGATAATAAAGATGTGGCCTTAATCAGGGATGTGCGTCATGGTGTTTTGGCGTGATTTTCATTTTTTGGCATGACAAAACACCAGAAATTTTTCAAGGAATAGGGGAAGTGTGTTCAAAATCTGAAATTTGTTCTTTAAAGATTTTGCCTGCGGCGCTAAAAATATAAGAACCTGGGTTTTGGTCCCCTATTTACCTAAAAAATTTTGGCGTTTTGGCGTCGTTTTTGGCCGATTTTGGCGTTCTGGCGTTTGGCGTGATTTGAAAAATTGGCGCTTGGCGCGCCACTCGAAAATATTTGCGCACATCCCTGGCCTAAATATAATCGGGACTGAAACGGCGGGACTTTTCGCATTTTTTGTTCAGAAATACCTTGCGTCTAAATGGCCTATGCCAAATATTCGTGTGCGGGACTGAGTTGGTGCGGAATTGTGGGCGCGTTTCCTTTTTCTGACAAAAAATTGAAGATCCCTTTTTTAAATTTTTATTTTTTTAGGTTATTCTGTGAATTTCTAAATAAATGAAGACAAAATTCGCTACATTCGATCTCTGCGCAGTTTTGCATGATTTAAATAATTTAAAGGGAATGAGATTATCAAATGTTTATGATATAAATTCAAAAACTTATTTACTAAAATTACAAAGGTTTTTTTATCAAACTTTTTATTTATTTTTATATATTTCTTTAGACCAAACGAGAAAGCTTTTATTCTTTTCGAGTCTGGAATTCGTATACATGTAACAAAATGTGAATGGCCAAAAGCTGTTATACCATCAGGATTTAGTATGAAATTTCGCAAACACATTAGAAGCAAACGTTTAACTAATGTTTCTCAAGTAAATTTTTAATGATTATTAAAACTTAGTTAAAATTTAAATTATATTGAAGTTTTAATTTTATTACAAACGTGTACTTAATTGATCATAAATCCGTTTAGAGTTGTCGAAACTTTATAATTTCGATGTCTATCGACCTACTGCAGGCCTTAAAAATATCGCAAGAGCATTTTTTGCTCATTTTTTCTCGGGACCAATGATATTAATTAAGGATTACAATTGAAGATTGTAAAATAAAATAATTTTACTTTATCATTATTATGTTCTTTTTTACAAACTGAAAAAATATACACTCCATTAACTCTTATTCTTATGCAAAAAATGAAATGTGGGAATGAAAAGTGCGCATTCTCTTTTCATACAAGTGAATAACCAACTGGACATTTGCCGTTTTCCGACGTTTAAGCATTTTTCAAAATTATCATTTCTCAAATAAGCGGGTTCTCAAAATTTTACCTATTTTTATTTTTAAGGTCGGTATTGATCGAATTGTTGATTTGAAATTTGGAGAAGAGGAACGAAGTTGTCATGTAATTGTTGAACTATATGATAGAGGAAATGTTGTCCTAACAGACCATGAATATACAATTTTGAATATATTAAGGCCGAGAACTGATCATGATACAGATGTTCGATTTTCTGTTAGGGAAAGGTTTGATTTTATTTTTTTTTATTTTTTTGTATCATTTACTAGGTATCCTCTTGAACAAGCGAGACAATCTTCACAATTTAGACCTACAGATGAAAATATTTTGCTTTTGTTGGAAGGGAAGAAGGGTGATTCACTTAAAAAATCGTTGGTTTGTAATGTTCCTTTTGGAGCACTTCTTCTCGATCATGTTTTTATAAAGATTGGTGTTCCTTTGGCGACACAGGTTATTAGCGAATTTATTCATACATAACTACTGTCCCTACTTGCGTTTCAAGATAAATCTTTACATTTCTTATCAATCAAAAGTGTAGATTACTTCATTTGACAATCAAAATAAAGTAAAAGAACGGTAGATTGAAAAATAATCCAACAATAGGCAATTTGACTTTTCTGAAATTATTTGCGGGTTTAGTAAAATACTCCTTCGTGTTAGAATCTATGACCATTTGGTCCTGGGTCTTGCTCAAGACCTCATGGGTGTTGACCTTCTGGGCTGATCCCAATGTGTGTGTTTATGTTATGAACAGACTATCGTTAGTAAATTTTTAAAGAATATTTTTCGTTAAGATTGGTACTGATATTCCAGTAAATGATGAGGGCGTTAAAATAATTGCTAAGATTTTGGAAGAGGCACAAAAGGTGGCTGATGATATTACATCCTCATCACATGGGGGATTTATTGCATATGAGGAAAAGGAAGGCGAAGAAGGCACTCCAATCCAGTTATTTAAGGTTTTTATTTTTATAGTCGATTATTAAATAAATTTTAAAGGAATACTTCCCTTATGATTTTATCCAATTTCGCGATAAATCTCTTAATAATTTACATATTCTTGAAACAAAAACATTTAGTGAAGCAATTGACAAATATTATTGGATAAATGAAGCACGAAAAAGCAAACAGCAGGATGGGGGAGTTGAAAAAGAGGCTAATAGAAAATTAAATGTAAATTAATGTTTCTCTTGCAAACATTAATTTTTTAGAATATTAAACGTGACCATCAAAAAAGAATACAATCATTGAATGAAATAAAAGAAATTCAGAAAAGACGAGGAGAATTTATTATTTACAGTAAAGATTTAGTGGAACAAGCACTTTTGATTGTTAGGTTGGATTTTATTAAAAATATTTTTTTAAAAGATTATTTTTTAGAACAGCTTTAGATAATCTTAAAAAAGTCAATAAATCATTAGCTGCAAGCAATCGAGGACCTAAATTAGTTCCAAAAACGGGAGTTGGTTTGTGGTTAGAGGAACTAGCAAATATGGGAGAACAACCTGCAGCAAGATTGATATGCAAATTGAAGTTAGAAACAAATCGGTTAGATTTATTTGATTTAGATCGGTTGGGGTTGTTTACAAGGGAACCGCTCGAACAAAATAATTATACATACTTCGTCTAGATCATGGTCGATAACATATTGCCAATTTTTGGCTTTCTTCGGCTCCGACCCTCCAAATCGAAAAATTCTATAACTTGCGGACTTTTGTATCGTTTGTTATAATTTTTATACGTCTTCTATAATTTTATGACTATATATTGTTTATTATTTGTCCGGTGTAATTGAAATATTTCTCTAGTTTAAAATTCCCTTCGGAAAACTCATTTTAAGTTTTCTACCATATCACTATAGCGGTACTATATAGTTTACTCAAATTAAATATTAAGATTTACAATGCGCCTTACGAATCCATATGATGAATCAGATAAAGAATTAAATGTGGAATTGGATTTATCTTTAAATGCAGAACAAAATGCCCGACGTCAATTCGAAGAGAAGAGAGCAGCTGAACAGAAAAAAGAAAAAACAGAAGCTGCTACAAATAAAGCTTTAAAATCAGCAGTTAAATCAGCCAAAATAAAAGCTGATATTAAATCTACACAGGTTTGTATATTTTAAAAGTTGATAACTTTTTTAATGTTGTAGACAAAAGTTAGGAAAACAAATATTATTCATGCTCGAAAAACTTACTGGTTTGAAAAATTTCTTTGGGTAAGAATTTTCTAAAATTTAATTATACATATGTTAATTTGTCTAGTTTGTAAGCTCCGATGGCTTTTTGATATTGGCTGGTCGTGATGCACAGCAAAATGAATTGTTAGTTAAGCGTTATATGCGACCAGGAGATATTTATGTTCACGCAGAAATACAGTATTTTTAAATTAAATTATTATTTAATTTTATTTAGAGGTGGATCCTCAGTAATTATAAGGAACAGAGAAAATCATTCCTCCGAAGAATGGACGCCACCGCATAAAACTTTGAACGAAGCAGGAACCTTTGCTGTTTGTTTTTCTTCTGCTTGGGAAGCAAATGTTTCAGTTACTGCTTGGTGGGTACGGCATGATCAGGTATTTCTGGTTAAAATAAGAAAAATTTTCAAATCGTTTTAGGTATCAAGAACTGCCCCAGCAGGTGAATATTTAGTTGCTGGTTCATTTATGATTAGAGGAAAACGAAACTTCCTCCCCAGTTGTCCGCTCCAATTAGGATTTGGTTAGTCAAATAAATTAAAATCTTCGATCCTCTTTTTAAGGATTAATGTTTAAACTGGATGATGAATCGGTAGAAGCCAGAAAAATAAAAGAAAACAAAACACCTGACAAAAACACACAAAATGATGATGAATCTGTAATTTGTTTGGAAGATGAATTAATTGAAGGAAGCAGTGATTCCGATACGGTAGAAGGGGCAGAAGACTTTCCTGATGTTAAGGTTGGATTTAATATGTTTAAATAATTTTTGTTTAAGGTTCGCGTTACTGGGAGTACATCGACGCAAAATGATAAGGTAAATGAATCCAGCATCAGTTATGGTGACGAAAAAGATAATGAAGACGAAAACAAAGCAAGCGATGAAGAGACTTTAGGGGAAATGAACGAAAACGACCTTATAGACTCTTTAACTGGGCACCTATCAAATGAAGACGAGCCTGAATTTGCAGTTCCTGTTTGTGCACCATACACAGCAATGAATAAGTTCAAACTTAAGGTTTGATAAAAAAATTAATTCTCATTTGCTGGTTCTCCAGGTAAAAATTACACCAGGAAGTTGCAAACGAGGGAAAGCTGTGAAAATGGCTCTTGAACTTTTTGCCGTAAGTGACTTAAAATTTTCGATTCTAATATAAACATATTTTTAGCAAAATAAGTCCTTGACTTTGGCCGAACGAACATTACTCAAGGCACAGACCGGGGACGACCGGTTAATTCAATTAGTTCCTGGAAAAGTCCGTGTATCAGCACCATCTTTCAATGTAAAACAAGTTGCAAAATTGATCATTTGATTAAAAAATACACAATGTATAGAAATACAACTATTTGTTTCAGTTATGTGTAATACCTGGGTACTTATCATTTATACTACACCCGGAGCTGTTCGACTTTTGATTATGAGAAAGTAGCTCAGACGGGAAAAGCCGCCCCAACAAGGAGCGACTTTTTGGAGTCCGTCTTTAGGCTTTGGCGAAAAATCGTTGATTCGTGGATTATGCGGGATTTTCATCAAATGATAAGTACCTACCAGAATCTTTTCCAAAATGAAACATTCGGGTCTATATTCTAAGAGTCAACTTCGGCCTTATTTTTATTGTCAAGACGAGATTAAAAGATAAATAAGAATGTATTTGTCCTTAATACTCCACATTCACAACGCGCATCATCAATGCCGTCGAGATGCTGTATGGCGTATAGGCGAGCCACGATAGCGTGAACGATCGGGTGAACGTCTATGGCGTCTGCTAGTTCTGATTGGTGAGCGTGAACGTTCACGACGGTGTCTCGTTCCCGATTCGCGTGAATGAATAGGTGAATTCTCACGAGGATGTTGCTTGGACTCTGAACGACTGGGCGAATGCTTACGTCGGTGCTGTATCGTTCCTAATTTTTCTTCCATTCTTTGAACCAGTTTTTGTCTGTACTTTGATACTTCCAAATCCATTTCTGATTGTAATGTATTTCCATCAGCTTCTAATTTGTCCTGTAGTTTCATCACTTTAATCTGGTAAAAATATTTTGAGAAGTTATATGTACTTTTTTATTCAATACAAACTTCTATTTCTCTAAGCATTTGCCTCCGTTCTTCATCATCATTTGAATTAGACGCTGTAATATGATTCTTGCTTTCTTTAGGCTCTGGCGACGGAGTTAACTTTGATAATCTGCATCGTTTCCTATCTGTCCGGTCCAGACCTGGGCGAAACTCAAAATTTTTTTCTGACGAAACGAAACGAAACAAAATTTTTTAAAAATCGTTTCGTTAACGAAACGAAACGAAACAACCAAAATCTTACGAAACGAAACGAAACAAAACGAAACATTTTAATATTCAAAAAATTTTCAAAACTGCATTTATTTCGAAATTATTCGACCTCAAATACGTTATTAGTCGACTATGACTTATAAATGATTTAGTTATTGGTTTATTTACAACAATTGTGTCCCATAAGCCAGGCCCGTAGCAAGGAAAATTTTCGGGGAAGGGGGGGGGGGGTCAATCATTTTCGAAGCCAAATTTTTGGCGACGCTTTTTTTTAAATAAAATTGAATATTTTTCAAGTAAAATTTTATTTTAAGCGCCGCAGACGAAAAATTTTAAAATTTTGAAAGGCCGTAGGCCAAAAAATTCACCATCTTGCTCCATTGCCTACCCAAATTGTCTCCATATCTCCATTTCGAGAGGAAGGCGATATAAGCTAGTGCTTCGCCGGAAGTTCCGGTTCCAGTATTTCCGCAACTCGCAATCCGCAATTTTTAAATTATGATGCGAGTCCGGTAATAGAATTTGTCGTCGATTAAGTAATATGTATATGTGGATTAGGGAGTGGAGTATAAACGGATTTGTAGTATATAAGTAATTGCTATCTTCCTTTTTCAGCGCCGCAGGCGAAAATTTTGACAATTTGGGAAAGCCAAGAAGCCGAAATTCTTTTTTTTTCAGCGCCGCAGGCGAAAATTTTTTAAATTTTCAATAAAAGATGGTAAATTTTATAGATTTTGGCCTTAGTTTAGGCTTAAAAAATTGTTTCGTTTCGTTGAAAAATCACAGGTGTTTCGTAACGAAACGAAACGAAACAAATTTAAAAGTGTTTCGTAACGAAACGAGACGAAACAGTAAAAATCATACGAAACATACGAAACAACGAAACGAAACGAAACGTTTCGCCCACGTCTGGTCCGGTCATCGTGATACCCCTCTTCTGAATCAAATGCTTTTAATTTTGAATTATTTTTGTTGTCTGTAATTGCATTTTGTTGTTGTTCCCATCGACTGATTTCAATTGATTCCCATTTGGATCGAGCGTGTTGAATATCTTCAGATTTTTGTTCGACTGGTTCCAACTTAAAAATAATATTAATAAGTCAATATTCAAAAAATAAAATTAAAACCGTGCTCCATGATCCGGTTGTAAAACGTTTGCTGTCATCTTCTTCATCGTTGACAATCGGAATTCCATCCAAATCACCGTCTGATCCAACATCATCAGGCATAGGCATACCGTCTATGTCATCATCTTCTTCCTGAATCGGCAATCCATCAAGATCCTCATCCTCTTCTTGTGGTATAGGCTCTCCATCAATTGAAGAATCAATTCCGCCGTCGGTCTTTTTAGTAACAATTTTGGATTAATTAAATTAAACTAACCTTTAAAAGGCCCAAGAAAACATTCTGCCATTTGATTAGGTCTTGTGTTGGGTAAACAGCATGGTCCTCCCAATTTCGAAAACAAAGCATGACGCGTTGTCGAAACTAAAATATTTATACTCCAAAATATTTTTTAAAAACCTGTTCAGCTTTCAACCGACTTTCGATTGAATCAAGTGCTTCATTGAGTTCAGAGAAAATTTTTAACAAATAGTCACCAAAATGTTGACGATAATAAAATGCATCTTTCACTCGAACCGCACAATTTGCTAAAATATCCGATACTAGGTAAATTCGAGCAATCTAAAATATTTTTGTATTAAATTCTTAAAATCTTTTTGTTGTTGAAAAAAATAGAATTTTTTTATTAAATTACCTTTCTATGTAGCGGTGTTTCTTTTATGCACAATGACTCGAAAATGCATTGTGTAATTTCCTTTGAACATTCTGCATGATCTAAACACCATACCATCGCATCACCAATAGCAATCTATTAAAACAAAATTTAATCAAAACAATTAAAAATGTAATTTAGGAAACCTTTTCTGGTGTCAAATTCCTAAGTAGATTCTCTAATTCTTCTCGTGATTGATCATTCAACACACCTTTGAGTCGTTTTCGCTGTTCTTCTTTTTCGGCAATATTTTTTAAAGCTTTTTTCCTTCGTTCTACACGTTCCTTACTTTCATCAGTTTCTTCTTTTTCCTCTCCTATTTTCTTTTCTGTTGATGATGATCGTTTATGTACATTATTAGCTTGTTTTTTGTCATTAGAACGACGTCTTTTTGGTACATAGGCGGTGTTATAAAGTTGTGGAGGCATTCCTAATTCAAATAAAGCATGTGGGGGTGGTTGCCACCAACTTCCGCCTTCAAACATTTTAAATTTGTCGAGACGCCATTTAGTTCGATCATCGCCTTGCATTGTAGAGTAGAGACGCCAGCGATAATAAACATGAGTTGGGTGGTGATTGTCGAAGAGAAAACAAAAAAAATAATAATTTTATTAAAATTTTGAAATTATTTAGTATTTATTGTAACCCCTCAACAAAAATTTAGGGGATACTAGTGGGGACGACGAGATATTTCGATATAGTTGTTAAAAATTAGTACTTTGACCAACCCAAAATTTTCTAACATAACTTTTATTATAACTATCAAAGAATTTTAAAATTTTACTGTTAGAGAACATTTTAATAAATATACAAAAATTCATGATTCATAGAATTCAAATAAGTAGAAATTTAGACCATTTAAATTTGTATAAAATATAAAATACGAGGGTAATTAAGATCTCACAGAATAGTCAAAATTTTAAAAATTTCCAAAATAACCTCTTACCGATACATTGGGTTTTGACGTTCTTTAGCCATTAAAATCGCTTCAAACAAAGGGCCAGAACGAACAAGGAATTCCACTACTCGATGAATTAGTTGCAATAACGGTCTAAATTTAAGAAAATAAATTCTAAATTTTTTCTACAAATTTCTAATATTTAAATATTAATTGAAAATTGTTGTTTATTTGTATTCTGCCAGTTGCACAAGAAGTCAAATAATTAGAATACCTTTCTGTGGGGACGACGACCCGAACAGTCGAGTTCTCTATCATCTATAGTTAGAAGAACGTGAACAAGTAATTTTTTTTCAAATTTAGATGTTCAATTATTTTTGTTAAAAACAAATAAAATACGATTGCATAAAAGCCAACATTTAACAAATTTGAAAAAACCTTTTTGTAGTCTCTGCACATTTCCACATCGTTAGTATCGAGCGTTGAGTTCAATTTCGGTAAATCATGATATTTTTTGAGAAAAACACGCAATTCTTCAGTTTGAGGTTTCGCGTTAAAAGGAAGCCCGGATGGTGGATCAGGCATAGCCAATTCTCGCAGAGGTGGAGGAACGTAGAAAGGCTTAAACAAAATATATATAGAATATATTTTTATAAATATTTAAAAAAACAAACTAGTGGTGGCATCGTAACAGGTCTAGCCCATGAAACGCGAAGTTCGCAACCTCGATAAACATCACCATGCATAGAATACATCGAACGTTCGGCATCCAAACGGCTCTATTAAAAATTATTAGATGAAATAAAAACAAAAAGACAACCATAAAAGCAACAAATCCACTCAATGTTGCCCTATAACGCTCTTCTTCGGGCTTGGGAAACAGAATTTTCGCTGAAGCAAGTGGGCTAAAAAAAGTTGAAATTTTTTGACTTGTCTTACAATATTTAAATTTTTTCAAATAAAATCGGTTCGCAACATTTAACAGTTTTTGATGAAAATCTTTCAGATAAATCGTTCACAAGATTTTTTCAATTAAAAATAACTATTTACCCAAATGAGCCAAATGTTTCAAATATATCTTCAAGTTTACACTAAAAAATAAATATATTAAAAAATATTTTAAACAAACGTCAGGTGGAAGATTACAAACATAAAGATTTGTTGTTGTTGGATCATGTTCATAATCAACATTTACAGGCATACCAGAACCAAAATAAGGAGCATCAAGTGTTGGAGCAATTCTATTTAATTCTTCTTCTGGAACACCCAACTTTTCTTTTAAATGTTGACGAAGACCTTTTCTTTCATCCCGCATTGCCTGCATTCTAAAAAAAGAAGAAATAATTATTTAGAAACAAAATTTAAAATAAAAACTGTTTAAGTTCTTCTTTGAAAGCCTCAAGGTTTGTTAGCCTTGACTTTTCAATTTTGTTAGCTGTCCCAGGCTTTGATGGTCGATTTAATGTAATATCTTGTTCAGGAAGAATTTGTGGTTGTTTTTCTTTTTGAGGATTACTATCTACACTACTCATTATTTTCTTCGCAGTTTCTTGAGCCAATTTTTTCGCAACTTCCAAATTATTTTTTATTTGAATAACAGGGGCTGGTTTATAAACTGTTGATTTTTGAATATTTGAATCTTAATTTAATTTTCTTTAAAATGATATAAGGTCAAATTTACTCATGTTAACTCAGCGTTCTAGAATAAAACCTAATGAGGCACTTCTTCAACATTTCTTTTATGGGGAGATGAAAAAATGAGAAAAAGATAACACATAAACCCGACTATTATCACCGATTTTTATTACTTTAAATAACCCCATAGTCGACCCAATCCGTTCAGAAACAAAAAAATCAAAGAAAACTTAATAAAACCTGTTTTATCAGGATTAACAACATCGCCACGAATGAATATTTTTGAGGTCTTGACAATTCCATCTTCGAATGTTTCACGAAATTCTTCATATGCTTCCTCCAAAAGTCCTTTCTCTTCCTCTTCCTGAATATAAAGGAAATGAAAATAATTTAAAAAATTTTTTTACTCTTTTGCGTTTGTATTTCTCCATGAAATAAAGAATATTTCTAAATAAGTTATTATATTATAGTGAATTCCTACAAAGTTTTTAAATATTGTTATATAATATAAACTGACAATCAGCGTGTGATAAAAATTTTAAAATTTGAGAAAGTTTTTAATGTTGGGAGGAATTAGGAACCGAAACGTCCTAGTGCGCTTTAAATCTGGATGTTTGATGACGAACTTACTTAACCTCAAATAAGTCTGTATGTAGCACGGAAAAGTCCAATAATTTAGGAAAAATGGGAAGATTCCAGAACTGGATCAAATCCCAACTCCGGTGTATTTGCCGACCCGGATTTGGAAATGAAGCCGGACCGGATCCGGCCAAATTTTCCGGATTAATCCGGTCCGAAAAATCAGGCCGGATCCGGTCCGGCCTCGCCCACTAATGGGAACATTTGTGCGGAGCAGTCCAAGTGAGTCCTCCCGATTGAGCCCCCCTTGTATATACCTCAGTTGTGTTCCCGCGGATTTAATACGTTTAAAAAGGATAAGTGGGATCGCGGGGTACTCGGAAGTATTAAAGTGAACATCAAGGGACTAGTGGAAAATGGAAAAATGCAAGAATAAATAATAGATATATTTATTTCAAGAAAATAAATAAATTTATGTTTTGAAAGAATTAATAAATTGGAATTAAAAAGTTTTGTAATTCTCTAAAATAGGAAAATATAAAAATAAAATGGCAGGGTTATTAACGGAATAATTGGAATAAGCTGCAATCTTTTCAACAGAAAATTTAATTTTTCATTCAAATTCCAGGCTTAACATGTCTGAAAATATTTTTAAATATTACTTATTTTTTAAAGTAATATTTACGAATGTATTGAATGTATTCCCCCTTCAAGTTGTGCATTATGTGTTCGACGTTCCAATCTAATTTTTCCGCTGTCAATTCCTTTTCTAAATTATTTTATATATTTTTTAACGTTTTATTTTACCTTAATTCATCAAAATTACGAACACCAATATCTTGAAGTCCATGCTGGATACCTCGAATAATATATGGAACATATTTGAAACAGCTGCCTGAATAAAAATATTTATAACTTATTCAAAAAAAGAAATATACCTCTATCACGTTGAGCTGCAGAAACCCCCTGTGCAACTTTTATATTTTCATTTCCACTAAAAATATAATTTAAAATATTTAAATTTAAAAAAAAACCCAGTAAAATATCTTTCTTGACTTGTAGCATTTGTCTCCATAGCATCCAAGGAACCCATTCCTCTGTATTTCTTTAGACGTACACCTGTTGATCCCCAGAAATATTCGCCTGGAGCTTCGTTTGTTCCAGCCAACAATCCACCCATCATTGCAGTTGAGGCGCCTAATGCCATTGCTTTTGTTATATAACTAGAATATTGTTTTTTGTTTGAATAAATTTCAAAGGAAAATAAACCCAATATCTCTAATTCCTCCATCTGCAATTACTGGCACTCCTCTTAATCTTGCATATCGAGAAACATTATAAACTAATTAGAGAAATATTACTATCTATAATATTAAAAAACAAACCAGCAGAACCCTGTGCACGACCAACAGCACAAACCTAAAAAATATTTTAAAATAATATTAAATAATAAGTTTAATAATGATTGGTCGATTTAAATTAACAGGTAAAAAAATTTCTTTCCTCATGGGAAAAATAAAAATTATAACTTGCAGATAAAATACATAGAAATACCCGAAAATTTTTGTATTACCGTTCCAGTTCCCTTTCATCATTAGTCCAACCAATATCCTTTTCGTATAAATAATCTCTATTTATAACTCATAATAACCCGAAAATTTATTTAGAAAAAAACAAACCTCTTGTGTTGTGCAAATACTTCCACTACCCATCCCTACACGTAAAGCATCTGCCCCTCCGTCAATAAGTAATTTAGCTTGATTCATTGTTACAACTTTATTTAAAATAATAAAATTAAAAAATATATTTCCAAAAAAACCATTTCCAGCAATTACTTGTGGCCATTCAGGAAAATTTTGTTTAATCCAGGAAAGTAATTCTAATTGATATATACTTGCACCGTTAGAAGAATCCTAAAAAATACTTTAAAAAATATTTTTTCATTTAAATTTTCTACAATAACAAGAACATCAACTCCGGCTTTAACCAATTCTTTAATTGTTTCTTTAGCCCCTTCTCTTGTATTTACAGCTGCCCCAACCATTAATTGTTTTTTATTATCAATTGAACTACGAGGAAATTCTCTCGCCTTTTTTAAATCAGAACGAGCAATTAACGATATTAATTCATCATTTTCATTAACAATTGGAAGTTTTCCTTAAAAAAACTTTTATTTGTGTAAAATTCCAAAAAACCTTTCTTTTCCTTTTCCAAAATTGTGTAAGTCTGTAAAAGTGTCAAGTTTTTGTCTCCAACAATTAAACGATCCCTAGGAACCATTACATCTGCAATTTTTGTAGTTGCATAATTCTCCCTTCTAATAAAGTCAATATCTCTAGAAGTAACCAATCCTTAAAGAAAAAGTAAAATTCTTATCTAAATCTAAAAACTTTCTAACCAAGTAATTTTGACCCGACATATCCTGTTGAGGTAACTGGAGTACCCGTAAATCTTCAAAAGAATTATTTTAATAATTTTTAAAAAATTACCCAAATTTCCTTTTAATTTCCATCAAATCCCAAATTGTGTCAGTTTCTCGAATACATTGAGGACTTGAAATAAATCCTTGTTTATATCTTTTTACTTTAATAATTTCTGCTGCTTGGTCCTAAAAATTTTTTAAATTTTTTAAAATTAAAAGTATACCTGTGCAGATTGAAAATTTGCATGAATAATCCCAATTCCACCATTTAACTTAAAAAATTATTTTTTAATTTAACAATAATCTAAAAACCGCCATAGCAATAGCCATTTCTACAAAAAAATTTTAAAAAATTTTAAAAAAATATTTAAATTAACCGCTCTCAGTCACAGTGTCCATTGGGGACGAAACCAGGGGTGTATTAAGTTTAATCATTTTAGTTAAATTTGTTGTTAAATCTACATCAGTTACAACAAAGTCAATAAATCCAGGAAGTATATCTTTTTGTTTAAATGAATAATTTTTTTTAAATTAACAAAAAATCTCAACTAAAATCATTATAAGTTAATCCAATTCCTTGTTTAAATAAATCATCAATTGTTTGTCCATCAACAATATTTAAATCATTTTCTGTCCAATTAGTATCCTCAATTTGTTTTTGATAATTATTATTGTTACCATTAATTGTTGTAAAATCCATTTAAAAATTAAATAATTTTTATAAAATAATTAAATATAAAAATAAATAGAAACTAAAAAGAATTTCATTTTTTTAAAGATTATCAAAGAAAGGATTTAATTTTTTATTAAAAAATATTAAATAGAGATTAGTAAAAAAATATGAAAAATATTTCTATAATTAATCATTAGTAACTTTTAATTTAATTGAAAAGGTAATAAAGTATATCTAAAGAAGATGCGGTTTTAACAAATCCTTCAGAAAAATCCAAACAGAAAACCCCCTATTAATAATACTTTAATACTATTTACTACTAAACATACTACATAGCAACCATCTTCTTTATATTTATTCAGACATTGATAAAAAAAATTGGAAAGCCCCAATTCTCCCCTAGATTCTTGTTAGATAAAAAGTAAATTTACTTTGTGTAAAATAACTAAACATTTAGTAATCTACTTTATTAAAATAAAAAATATAAAATTTTAGCGTAAAAAATATCAATGTAAGAATGATTCTTCGTACAAAAGGATTATAAAAAAATTATTTTTAAGAGATTAAACAAATATTCTTATGGCTGGTAATCACATACATATATGGGAATCAATATTTTTTTTCTAACTAGGAAATATATTTTAAAAAATTTCCATATTTTAACCAGCCTTATGATTTATCAAAAAAAGAATTCCCCAATTCATTTTAAATTAATATTAGAGGGAAAGACTGAAATTAAATGTAAAATAGGGAAATACCAATGAGAAATTCTTTGGCCATTCATTTTTTTTATCTATTTTATGATTTATCTCACGTCTGTTCTCATAAACTTAAATGTAAATAATTTTGTAATAAATTTATGTATAAATTTATTACAACAAGTAAAGTTTAAAATGAAAAGAAAGTATTAGAATTTAATACATTAATGTTAATTTGTTGTTTAAACAAAAAAAATTTTTTTATTTAGATTCTTACGTTTAGATAAATGTATAGTAAATTCAAGTTATTTTTAATTAAAAAGTTTCTTTAATTGTCGAGTATATAAAATTCTTACTAATACATTTAGGATTGTTAAAATCCTCCATTAATGTTGTTGTTCCTGCCATTGTTCAATATTCAAAGTCTGTTCTAAATTCTGATAATTGTGTAAATCTTGTTTTTGTTGGTCCATATGTGAATGATGGGATTCTTGTTGTAGCTGTTGAATATTTACGTTATTACCAGCACCTAAAAAGAAATCAATACTTAACAATTCGATCTTAAATCTCACCATAATTTGGTAAACTCATTGGCCGATTCAATTGCTGTTGCAACTGTTGTTGCTCGTGTTGTTGATCGATGGACATTTGTTGTTGTTGTTGTGGCTGCTGATGTTGTGTGTTATGAGGATCGCAAAATAGCTGTGCACTCGAGAAGAGAAGACCAGTACCCAACATCTGTGGACCAACAGCACCAACACTTCCTTGGTATTGCTGTTGTTTATGGGGGTCGAATTGGGGAAAGAAGTTAGCATTCGCTAAATTTTGTAGTTCTCGATGAAATTGCTGCTGGGGTTGTGAACACGACCCATTATTTCCAGTATTATCAAGCATTGCCATAGAAGGTGGTCCTGGAGTGCTTAATGCACTAGTGTTTGGAGTAGCTCTAAGAAGATTTATATTATTTCTTATCCTCAGTTACCTAGAATTTTGTTGACCAATGGAATTTGTAATCTGTGTTGGTTGTTGTTGTTGCTGCAATTGTACATTCATTCTAATCGATCCAGAATTGCATATATTATCTTGAAAGTCTGTAGCCATAGAAAAACATGAAGGGCTCACTAAATCAGTAGGACCACAATTATTAGTTACCATTATTGGCTGCACAGAAAGTGGACGATTCTGTTACAAAAATAAGAATTGAGAGAATATTTATATTTAACAACCATTTGATGGCATTGTTGTGGTTGCTGTGGATATTCCTGTTGACTTCCTCCAGAAATCATAGCCATAGATCCACTATAACCAGCAACATTTAAAGCCTCTAAATTACTATATACATATCTATTCTGAGGCTGTTGTTGTCCTAAAAATTGATTTTGATTTGAATTATTTTGACAAAATTGTCGGGATTTTTGGTGTTGTTGATTAATATGTTGTTGTTGGTCATTAATCATTATAGGACGAAAGAAGTTAGTTTGTGAAGGTTGTTGAGGATTTGATGTAGAAGGCTCTGATGAAGCAGTAGATGGCAATAACTTAAAAAATGAAAATTTTTTAAAAATGATTCCACGTTTTTAACCTTTCCTTGTGCGATTAATTGTTGTAATTGGCGAGCACGACGATATCTACGTTTCAAAAGTTTAGTATTATTTCCTTGATTATTGTGGTGTTTAATAATATGTTCTTTTAATTTGTCTCGTCTAGACGAAGCATAATCACAATTTTGACATTTAAATGGTTTTTCTTCCAAATGAATACGTTCATGTCTTACCAAATGAGACTTTTCAATGAAAGAACGGTGACATGTCCGACATTTATGTGAACGCACTAAAATTAGATTTTATTATATATATAATTTAAAATAACCATTTAAGTGAGTTCTTAAATGAGCAGCAAGTTGACTTTTCTTTGGTGATGAATAATCACAATCAGGAATGTGGCATCGATATAAATCACCAGAACTAAAAAAAGATTTAAAACATAAAAATAAACTAAACTGAATTCGTTTATGAGATATTAAATGAGATTGATATTTTGTACTAAAATTGCATTGATCACAAAGAAATGGTCGTTCGTCTTGGTGTGTAATTGAATGATTTTCTAAAGTTCTTTTAAGAACAAAACGCCTATAGAAATTATTTTATAAGTTTAAATTTTTTAAAATTTATTATTTACTTTGAACAAATATTGCATTGAAAAGGTTTCTCTCCAGAATGTAAACGATAATGGACAATCATATTAGATTTGTTACGACATCGAAAAGAACAATCAGGACATTTAAGAGGTTTTTCATTTGTATGAATTAAACGATGAGTAAGCAAAACAGGAAGTCTATCAACAGAATAAGTACACGAATCACATTCTAAAAAATACTTTCATCAAATATATTTTATTTACTATATAACCTGAATGATAATCACATTGATATGGAGGGCCTGGAAAATGTATTTGGCGCATATGTTGATAAAATTGTTTATTCCATCGACATTCAAATTGACAAACAAAAATTTTAATAAATTATTATAAATAGTCTACCTAAATTTAACTTACTATTACAAACGTAGAGAACATTTTTTGAATGTGTTGCAGTTATATGTTTGCGTAAATGGACAATTCCATGGTGAGTAGAAAAAGAACAATGTGGGCATTGCATTGATAGAGCTTTATTTGAAAACTCTCTTTCAATTTCATTATTTAATGGATTTTTCTCTAAACTTTTTTGTTTTCCACTAGTAAATAAATTTTGGCGAATCTGGTGCTCATCCTAAAAATGATAAATAAGATCACCTTAAGTTTTTATTTGATTACCTGTGCTTCAAAAAATTCAACTCTTTCGGGGTCAAATTCATCTTCTTCCTCATCAAAAACAACAGCCGGAATTGACCCTTCTGTTTCTTCAGCAAATTCAAAGAAAATTGAATTAGGCTCCTCATCAACGCCTGTAAAATCGGTGAGAGGCCTAGGTGGTCGTAGTTTTGGTGGTCTTCCTCTTCGTCGAAATGCTTTCCCAGTAGCAGAAGCAATTGATTTTCGATATAATTTTAATCCTAAGAAGTCTTTCCTATTTAAAAAATTTATGTTTAAATTAACCTATTAATCTACGATTCATTGATTTGTCGAGAAATTGTTTTTGTTTCACAGGCAAATGTATTTTTAATTTAAGAGAACCAGAAGGGCATTGTCGCATTGCTGAATTACTATTAGAAATTGCAGTTTCAGATTCACATGGACGTTGAAGATTTGATTGAAAGTTTGTGCAATGTTGTGTTGAAAAATGTCCAATCTCTGACACAAATTCGGGATCACCTTCATCTTCGTCAATACCAACATGTGAACGTTTTATATCCAAAGATGAATTGACATAATGTTGACTACCAGTGATGTTTCCACCTCCCAACCCAGTTACTGAACAACTTCGGCGTCGTTGAGTTACATCTGAATTTTTGTCTCCACAAATACGTTGTACAAGATTCCTATACCGCAATTCATATTTAGGCATTTGAATACCTTGATTATGCCTTTGGAAAATTAAATATGTTAAAATAAAAAAATTAATTAAATACATTTCTTGTAAAATAGCATGAAGTGAAATTTCTGATTGATTGAAAAAAGGATTAAAATCAAGAAGACGTTCAAGTTTTGCAGGTAATATTTGCTGAATATTGCATCTTCCAAGTAAAAAGGGAAATAACTGTTCTCGCTCAGAAAGTTTATATCCAACCCAACGAACAATTAAACTAATATTAATTTAATATAATAACTTAAGTAGTTAACTTAAAAAAATACCCTAAATAAACATCTGGAAGAACATTATTTATATGCTGAGCTTCTTCCAAAAGTGAAAGAAGTTGTGAAGCCTCATATTCAAGTAAATCTGTATTCTCTAACAAACATCCACTTATATTGCTATCAAAGAATTCAGAAGCTCGAGTATGTAAACGCGGTAAATTGTAACGAGTCGCTAGATCTCTAACACACAAACAATTAGAAACATCAATATACCGCATAAGATAATCAGCACAGAGATTTTTAAGTCTAAGCATCTGAAATAAAATTTAAAAATTAAAAAATAACTGAAATAACCAATAAATTATTAGCCAACTTTAACATTTCAACAACAACATCTCTGTCTATTTGTACTGTTCCACTATACATATAATTAAGAATCCGTTCAAAAACCAAAGGTTCTTGACAGTTTACAACAATCTTTAAATATTTAAATAAACAAATATTAAGCAAACCTTTTCTTTTGCAATTTTATCAAATCGAAGAACAGAATCAAAATACGGGCTATGAGAAGCAAGTATTGACCGATGGGCGCTAAACATTCTATCCTTCACAAAAATACAAGCATCACAAAACCTATAAGAATAAAAAATAAATTTTTATAACCAAAACAAACCTTCCGGAAGCCCTTTGATATCTCAATCTTTCCATCATTGGATTTAGATTTGAATCGCCAAAAGACATTGGATTTAAACCATCCTTAGAATAAGCCAAAGTCATGTTGTTTTTTTTAGCAAATTTAAGAAAAAAATTAATTTAATTTATTTATAAATTATTAAATATTAAAAAGAAATGAACAAATAATTTACTTAAAAAAATAAATTTATTTTTATTAAAATTTTATCAAATTAAATTAAAGGCAAACAGAGGCAATGAAAGTACAGCAATTATTTTATGAAAATAATTTGGTAGGGATTTAAACAGAGCTTTTTCGAAACAAAAAAATTTTTAAAATATTGAAAGTCAAAATTTCGAAACAGCTCTGATATTTAAACAATATTTTATTAAAGATTCTGATATGCAAAACAGAATCCAATAATTATGACAATTCGAAAATAAATAAAGCATTAAAAGAAAATAAATAATTTATTTTATTGGTCAAATTATGATTTTTGTAAAACTTTAATTTAAAATTTGAAAGAATATTTAGATAAATTTAAAAAAATTTTTATTTGGCCAATAAAATATTAATAAGCACGAAAATTAAATTAGGCATTTCCACAATATTCAAAAATTAATAATTATGGCATTATTTTTTATATAGATAAATTTAATTTTAAGAGCACAATATTAAAAGAATGAATAGCAATTCGTTGATTTTGTGACAATAATTTAAAAAAATCTTTACAAGACTAGCAATTTCAAAATTAAAACAAAATCTCTACAAATTTAATTAACCTATTCAAATTACCTCTAACTATTTTAAAAAACAAAAGTTGCTGTCGAATTCTCTTTTTTGGCATTAAATGTTTGTGAATTTGTGTCACAATTATTAATTACTTTTGTGCCAGCATTTAATTTTTCTCTAAATTTTTATTTTAAAATTTAAATCTTAATTAATTAAAAATACCTTAAAACATTTATATAACAAGTATATCTCTCTTTCTAATATTAAAAAATATTAATTTTTAAACTAATTTTTATTTTAAAAAACCTCGCTGTCCAAAAAACGTTCTTTATAAAAATAGTCATAAACTAGTTTTCCTTTCGATTTGATAGGAGGAGCACATTGTTGAAGATTTGTTAAACTTTCTTTTGTTTCTTCTAATCTTTGTTCATGAGCATGTAATTGGTCAACCTAAAATATTTTTAAATTAAATAAATTAAAAGATGAGATATCACCAAAGATAAATGAGTAGGTGTTGAAGAATATTTTGGTTTACAAAAGATAAAGGCTTTGTTAGCACCAACTAGAAAATTAAAAATAAATAAAAATCTAATTAAATGTCTCTTCTTCAACTCTTATTTAATTAAAAAAAATACCTGGGGTTGGCAAAACAGGGGCAGAAAAAGCAGCAGCGACATAATTTATTGCATCAATCCACTTTTCAACTTCAGTTGAATCGCTTGTTTGAAAAAGAAATTCACCAAAGTTAGCAGTTTTCAAACGAAAAACATTCTTCTTTTTTGTATAATCTTTTGGAATCTAAAAATTAAATTTATAAAATCTTTTAAAATAAAAACCTCAGCAAGTGAATGATGGATTAAAATACAATTTTTATAAGTTAAATAACGATTTCGACATGAAAAAGAATTTTCATCTTGATGTAAATAAATAACCATTCCTCTAATTGTAGCATATAACATTTGCCATTTTCTTCGACCAATAGGTGCTAAAAATAAAATTTTTTTGTGAAAATCATTTTAAAAATAAAACTTCTTTTTCCATCAACATCATAAAGAGATTTTTTCATTAACCATCCACGTTTATAGTCAACTTGTTGCTCTACTGGATTAACAAAAGATGTTTTTATACTTGATTCACTTTTCTTATTAAAAATAATTTTACTTAATCTTTTTTCTTTAAATGTAGAATTTGTATTAAATTGAGACAACTAAAATAAAAAATGTAGAAAAGAATTTTTTTAGTCAAAAAACCTGATTTTCTTGTTTATTAAAAGGCTGATTTCTAATTGTTATGAAAAGATCTTTTAACATTGCTGCATCAAATTTAAATCCACTATTTGTTAAATCATTTATAAAATCACGTATATTGACATTATTTGCCTGATAATAAATTTTTCTTTAAAATTAAATTAAATTTTTTTTTACATTTCCTTGCAAAGAATTATTTAAAGAAATAAGAGCACAAGACAAAGCATGAACTTCTTCAACATTTTTAAAGATTACAGGATTACATTCAAAATATCGATGTGCAAAATGTGCCAATAATTGAGCTTTATCACCAGATTCGTCACAAAGCTGTACACGTGAGGAAAATGCCTGAAGAGCGGCATCAATTCGAAGACCGGCAAAATTAAAGAGATTAACAAATTCTCTGGCAATTTTCATTGAAAGATCATCGCTAAAATCAATAGACAATAAAAATTTTTAAATTATTAAATACGTTTTAACAAGAAAAGCAGCAATTTTAATTCCTTCTTGATGAGTAAAAAGATGTCTGGCAAGACGAGAAATTGTTTCTGGTGGATAAGATGAATATAATAAAGGCATTGTACCGGCAGAACTTTGCATTGATACTAAAAAATGATTTTTTTGCAAAAAATTATTTAAAATTTTTACATGAAGAAGAGCAAACTTGATTTGGAATTTCATCATCTAAATTTATATTTTGACCTTTTTCAGTAGCAGCAATAAGTGCTTGTTCAATTAAATTTGTTTGCTTATTTGTAAAAACTCTTGCTGGACTAGCAGGCATACTTTGTGATTGATTTGAAGAAATTAATCTTTAAAAGATAATAAATAAATTATTAGACAAAATACCTGGAAATTGTCGAACTGCTAATTAAAGGAGCATTAAATGTCAAATTATTTTGTTGTTGCGGAAGATTAATAGAAAAATCATTCCCAAGAAAATTATTCTCTGAATTTTGAAATTGTGGTATATTTGAAGGATCGGCAGGAATAACATTAATACATGAACTCTCTGACTAAAAAAAGATATCTTTAAAAATATTTTTGTTAAAAAACAAAACCTCAAAATTTTTATTATTTGAAGTAATATCCTGAACTTCTTTTAATATTTCAGAAACTTTTTCTTCATCTTTCTCAGATTGTGGTTTTGTTGAAAAATCAATTTGACTATTCTCTTCTGAAGTCCCAAGCATTATAGCACTGCGTATACGTCCATGGCTGTTTTTGTGCATTGAAGGGAAATGATCAAAATGATTTTCATTTTTGAGCTTTTTTTCAGGTTCAACATGAACAGCAGGTGGAAGCTGATCGTGACACATCTGACGTGAATCAAATAAAAGTGTTAACAATTAAAAACCTTAGGGTAATTTTAAATATTTTTCTTCCTAAATTATTGTAACCTTTTTCACCGTGGCATCCAATCAGTAAAGAAGGAAAACATGAGGGAATCGACACATTTTTATAAGGTGGAGAAACAAAAATGTCAACTATTTCCATCTACATGAAAAACCTTATCGAAATATCAATCATGTACTTAAAATAGAGAAGGGAACATAACTACCATTCACGAAATACTGAATGGAGCTGTACAACAAAAACCTGTCGCGCAAAACAAAAATTGATGTATTGTCTTGCACGGAGTACAAAAGATGCTGAATAATTATCTTTTTCTGACAAATTGGACGCCAAGAGATAAACTAATAAAAAAAAACGAAAGTAAAAAGTACCAACCTTAGCATAACTTGGAGAAATTTTTGGATTTAAATTAAGCATTTTATCTCCAGTCATTACAAAAGCCTCGCACCGAGGTGAACGTGATTGAATACTTGAATTTTGTGAATCTGGTAATGTATTGTCAACCTCATAATCTGTCGTACAAAATTTATAACGAACTCTCTGATCCTTTTCCATTACAAGATGATGCTTATCTATTTGTGTATTGTTACTGCCCACAGCTAATTCCATTTTTATTAATCTAATCTAATAATTCTGCCACCTAAAAATGAGGAAATGTAATTTAATTTAAAAGAATTTGGGTTTTAAGTTAAATGCGTGCAGTTTTTCCTAAATAAAACCTTCTACAAGTCTTATAATAAAAGCAAAAATTGTTATGACACGTATTACAAAGATTAACAAATAAAAAATTTTCTTCTGCACCCGCAATGCTTTTTATTTTCCGCTTTTCAATTTTAAACAAAGCCACCCCTGTTACTTACTAATTTAAATGTAAAGGATATATGTAGGTACATACATAAGTAACATAATAAATTAAACTAAAATTGTTTTTATCCTAATCGATCACTATTATACATAACACATCGTATCTAGTATTACAACGTTAAATTTTGAACTTAAATCTTCACAGAAAACAAAATGACATCAATAATAGATTAGCTAGTCTAAAACCCCAAAAACAAATATAATTAACAAACGATACTTTTTAATTAAAAACCAGGAGGCAATCTACCCCTAAAACTGGTTTATGATAAATAAAGCCTCAAAAATGGAAGAATTGTACAAGAGCAAAATAATATATTGTTACATAACAAAATAATTAATTAAAGAATAAAATTAACAATTTATTTTAAAATAACGAATAATTAATTTAAAAGTGCAAAAATTTCAGAAATTCATATACTTATTAAGGTGACATCCGAAGACCACCATCTGAATTTAATACATATAAATAAATAAAAAATTAAATAACTTACCCAAACGAATAACTTCTCCATTTATATAGGGATTTTCAGCGATATGTCCAACTAAAGCCGCAAACTCCTCAGGATACCCCAAACGCTGCGGGCTCAAAACAAGCTTTCCCAAAAACTTTTTCGCCTAATAAAAGAATTTTAAAAAACATTTTCATAAACCAAAACCTTATCTGGCAACGAATCCATAAGTGGAGTATCAAAAAGTCCAGGTGCAATTGTGACAAAACGAATACCAGGTACAGCATAATCTCGTGCAAGTGGCAATGTCATTGAAGCAATGGCGCCTTTTGTGGCAGAATATAAAGACTAAATTATTTATTAAAATATAAAGAAAAAACTGAAAACCTGTCCTGACTGTCCTTCAAATGCAGCAATCGATGAAGTATTAATTACTAAACCTCTTTGGTTATTCTCATCTGGAGTGCTTGCAATTAAATGAGGCAAGCTATATTGAATTACATTAATTGTCCCGTAAAGATTAACCTTTAAAAACAAAAGAAAATTTTAAAATCACTTTTCAATAACCTTAATTATTTTATCAATTCGCTCGCGTTTCATAAAATCAGCCTTTGTGGTTGAATACAGTTTTTGGGCAAAGGCAACACCTGCACAGTTCACAACCAAATTGAGCTGACCAAACTGACCGGCTATCGAATCAACGGCTTCTTTCACTTGATCTTCTGATGAAACCTGAAAGAAAATATTAACGACAGCAAGGGAATAACAATTTGGTACTACTTCGTTTTACATTTTGTTAGATTAGGAACCAATATGTATCCACATCGAGGGATGGAGTAAAGTAAATTTAAATTTTCCACGAATAAATCAAGTACAAAAAATTCAAAAATTTACATCCAAAGGTCGAAATTGCACAATCCCCGAGCCAATCTCTTCAGCAAGTTTAGAACCTTCCGAGGATGGTAAATCAAATAATCCAACATTGTAGCCTTTCCCAGTCAGATATTTAACTGTTGCTTTACCTAATCCAGAAGCACCTCCTGTAACAATTGCGACAAGTTTCTATGAAATAAAGTTTCCTTGGAATATTTTTCAAACAAAACCTTAGCAGAAGCAGCTGCAGCACCACTAACAGATGCCATAATTTCTAAACAGTTAAAATAATTTGAATTTATTTAAATATAAAAATAAATAAAACTGCCAAATTTAAAAATATTTTCAATTTTAAGTCTATCATTAAAGCTCAACATTTAAAATAAATTAAAATTAACAGAAAAACACATTATTATGTAAATTATCAACAAATATTTTTATCAACATTCATTTTAATTTTAATAATTTAATCTTTCTTCACATGACCAACTTCTTTTATTCGTTCCTGAAAATTAAATTGTAAAATAAAGTTAAAATATATTGATGTCATGATTTCTAAAGGTTAAAACTTTATCAAACTTTCCGAGAGCTTCTTGTCAACACCCTCATTAAAAACATTTTAATAACTTACCGCACTTTCAATGCTAAAATCCAAACGGAACAAAATAATTGAAATCAAAAAGAGCAACAAAAATGCACAGATCACCATTAGCGGTTCCCGAATTAAATAAATACGTTCAAATTCATAATAAAGCTAAAAAAATAGATTTTAATTTTTTGATATAAATCATTGTAATTTGCCGTAAACGTTTGGATATGGTTGTTTATCAAATTTTCTTTTTCAATCACTACAACAGGACGGCCAAATGTATCCAAATAAGTCTTATAAGTTTCGTCAGGCAAACGTTTAACAGAGTAGGGCGTAACTAATTTTATATTCCTAAAAACACAAAGAAAAGTATTTTAGATAAAAATTAAATAATTACGTGCTCATTTCTGGCAAAATAATTTTAAGACGAAGTTTTTGCACAACAGCATTGTCAAAAAGTCTGTCCATCATTTTCATTCTAAGCGCATAATTTGACCCAGAAGAGTGCAAAAATGAGGAACTTGGAATGTTATACCCGAGAACATAGTTTGTCTTATAAAAATATTTAAGGAAAAAAATATATTTTTATATTACCCGCCAACCCCCAAACAAAGGAAAACGCGGACGAAGTTCAACTTCAACACGATCGTTTCGAGGATAAACACTGGAAGTAGATATATTACCGATT